AAATCTAAACATTTCTTTAAGAAATTGAATGAGTTTCTTTGGCCTTAGGGGAAATGTGCCATTTGATACATTTAGAATGTGTTATTGAATGTGTTTTTTCATGATAGGGAAAGTTTGTGCAGCAGGAACGTGGGTATGCAACCCGCTATTATAGTCATGTTACACTTTTCACTTAAAAACCGCACAGATAAATTAAAATTTATCCTTAAAGTTGCAATCAGTCACTTTTTTATGGTAAATTATGGTATTTTGGATTAACTGAATCAGCAAGTGAGGGATCTCTTTACAGATCTTACTGAACTCTCATGAATACAATTTAAATTATTTTTGTCTATAAAGGCCATATGATCCAAAAGGTCACCATAGTGATACAATAAATGATCAAAGTTGTCAAAAGTCTATGGACATTTGACAACTTAATATCCCTTAAATCACATTCTAAAAGAAACTCAAGCCCACCTATTTTTGTACAGTACAATAAAACAGTAAATAGGTTAGGTTTAACACATGCAATAATGCAAAAGTTGAGACAAGGGTCTGTCAGGGGTTTTTGTTATTCATTCCAGTCGTTGGCTGCTGGGAACTAAAAGTAGTAGCAGTCAAAAGAGGTATGGACTTTTGAGGTAACCAGAGAGATAAACCTGTTTGATCACAGGTTGGTAATGACACTGAAACTAATGAATTTAAGTACAATGGAGATTTGCCTAAGAAGGACTTGTAGATGAGCTGGTACCAGTGAGTTAGGAGGAGTGTGTGTAACGAGGGCCAACCAACTAGTACATGTCTCAGTGATGGGTGTTGTATGGGGCTCCGGTATTAAAGTGGATTGCAACATGATATGCCACATCTAGTTTCTTCAAGAAAGGGTTACAGGCATTTCTATATTCCACATCACTGAAATCGAGAATCAGTTTGATAGTCATCTTCACCAGAGCATGTTTAGCAGCGCGGGTAAAGAAAGCCCCTGTGACGGTTTATGCAAGACTTGAAGAAGAGTGAGCTATCTATCAAGACACCTAGATATTTATTTATCTGGTTTCCTTTCGTAAAGGATGGCCCAGTGTACCCTATACTAAAGGAGATAAGAAATGCACTGAAGCACCTTTCCTTAGCATGTAGAGAATTCGACCAGCTCTTCATAGCTGCCACTTCAATACTTTTGGGTCACTTCACTCAGTTAGGAACCTTCCTAAGCAAAAAAGACTTTTTGACTGCAGCCCAGGTCTACTGGGTCAACAACTATTCTGGAAGATGAATCTTTCTCAAGTTTCATCTCCTTAAGTAGTGAGCGTGTTCCTCACATGAATTTGTTGTTTTCTTTCTGAAGATCACCAGTTTTCTTCTGAAGTGCAGAAAATTCTTCCTTGTTTTCTTCAATTGCTGTTGTCTTTGCTTCAATGCGTCTCTCAAAACGTTCAAAGAGTTGAGTCTGTTCATATGTCTTATGTGTTAGAACTTGCATGTGGAGAATCACATCACTGGTACTGTCATCCTTTCTTTTGGATCTCTTTGCTTCTATTTTATTGGGGTTATGGCTTTTTATCGGTATGTGCGTCATATTAATATGTTCCTTAGAAGTCTGTTCATCCATTTCAGTATCTTCTATATCGCTGTCATCAAATGCCTCATGGAGAGCTGACAGATTGTAGCTCTCCATGAGGGACATTTTCACTTAGGGGTGTTCTCACTTTTGTTGCCAGCAGTTTAGATATTAATGGCTGTGTGATGTATTTTGAGGGGACAGCAAAGTTACACTGTTATACAAGCTGTACACTCACTACTTTATATTATAGCAGTGTCATTTCTTCAGTGTTACATGAAAAGATATAATCAAATATTTACAACAATGTGAGGGGTGTACTTTTGTGAGATACTATATCTGCGGCTTTTTTGTCCAGCATAGTCTCGGCCTATAAAACAGCAGCTGGATGTAATAGATCTTCAGCTACAGTGAATGGTATTTTGGCTTTAGCTACGAGCAAAGACCTCACATAAGAAGCCTTGAATGCTTTGCTGATGTTGTGGAGAAGTTTTGATCATTTTTTGAGATGAAGTCAGAAATTTTTCATGACACGATGTTTTGTGCTGGGATGTTGTCGGAGTTGCACTGGCTTCAAGCAACTGTTGGCTAATTTCTCTCCACAAAAAAAACACAATGCACTGAGAAAGTTGCAGCTCATTTCAACACATCCTCATACCTAAATGACAAAATGGGTCAATTATCAAGTGTCCCAAAACAACACGTATGAGCGTTGGCAATCCGGACAGGCTTACCGGTCCTTTAGTACATTACATAAGTGAAGTCACATGACGTGGAAACAACACGTGGAAAACATTGTGAAATGGTGGTAGTTTGGTTAGGTTTAGGAACAGACCGTTAAGCAAGTAACGTGATATAACTCATCTACAAAAAGTCTTTTAACTTCAAACATGTCCACTTTGACTTTCTTTCACCGGGACTCCAACCTCGGCATCCTGAGTAACATTCCTGAATTGCCTTCCCTCATCCATCCATCCACCTCAACACCTCCTTACACAGACTTTGTCGCTCTTTATACCACATCACCTGACATCTTCTGCTGCTAGAGATTGAGGTCTGACAAAAAACATAAACATGGATCATAATAATAAACTGCTGCATAATCGACCTATACAGCTGTTTCTCTGGTGAGGAGGGGCTGCTCCTTAAGATAAATCCAGACATGGATCTGTTGTTGTTTTGGGCTTTGGGCTTGTCATATTTTCCTGTTTTGTTCTTGTTTATACCCTTCCTCATGGGGTTATTGCTCTGTGACTCTGTATTGTCGTCCCTTCCTTCATTTGTTAGGTCAGTTGTTCATTTGTTCTGAGTTTTCTGTTTTATTTTATTAGATTCATACTCGCAAATTTCCGCATACTTCGCTTCCTGCGTGATTTTGTAGTGTTCAGTCTCATGTGTCTTTGTCTAGCTTTGTTTCCTGTTTAGCTGGTTAGTTACCTTAAGGTTTCCTCTCAGCTACTATGTGTGTTTGTATTTATTGTCTTCAGTTCTGTTATGTCTTTGTCGCATTGTCTTCGTATGTCGAGTGTTTCCTGCCTGTCTCTGTTCATTCTGCTGTGGATAATTTACTCAGTCTGGATTAGTACATTTTTATAGAATGGTTGCACCAGCGATTTTTACTGGCTCTTACTGATGCCAATCATTGTTCACTTTGAACACCAGAGACCTCTCAAGCCTTCAACGTGGGATGTGTCAAGGCAACTTTGAGGTTTCTTGAGAATTGCATGTACTATGTATGAATCCCAACAATGTTTCGCAAACAACTGTTCACAATAATTTGGTTCAGTATTCTACAATTATGCTCAGAAGTATGCAATATTGTAATGTAAAAAATGTAATATTGTCACACAAAGTACTGTGCAAGAGTGTAGGGCAGGTGTGGAAAAAGTCTGTAACGTAAGAATGCATTCAAAAATAGATATGTTAATAGATTATATTTATCAATTAACAAAATGCAAAGTGAGTGAACAGAAGAAAAATCTAAATCAAATCAATATAAGATGTGACCACCCTTTGTCTTCAAAACAGTTCTTCATGGTACACATCAGGTGTATGACTAAACAATTTTACCTAACAGGTGCTAATGATCACCAATTCAATATGTAGGTTGAAACACAATAATTAAGTGAAACAGAAACAGCTGTGTAGGAGGAATCCAGCTGGGTGAGAAACAGCCAAACTCCGCTAACAAGGTGAGGCTGCTGAACACAGTTTACTGTCAAAGTCATACACCATGGCAAGACTGAGCACAGCAACAAGGCACAAGGTGGCTATACTGCATCAGCAAGGTCTCTCCTGGGAGACATTTCAAGGTAGACAGGGGTTTCCAGATCTGCTGTCCAAGCTCCTTTGAAGAAGCACAAAGAAATGGGCAATGCTGAGGACTGTAGACTCAGTGGTCAGCCAAAGAAACTTACTGCTGCAGATGAAGGACACATAATGCTTACAACACTTACTGACAGAACAGTGCCATCAGCTCAGAGCTGCAGAAAACAGTGGGACCCTGGAACACCATCTACTGTCCAGAGAAGTCTGCTCAGAAGTGGCCTTCATGGAAGACTTGTGGGCAAAAAGACATACCTCCGACATGGAAACAAGGTCACGTGACTCCGCTATGCATGGAAACACAGGAAGTGGGGTGCAGAAAAATGGCTGCAGTTCTGGACTGATGTGTCCACATTTGAAATATTTGGCTGCAGCAGAAGGCAGTTTTTCGCTGAAGGGCTGGAGAGCGGTACAAGAACAAGTGTCTGCAGGCAACAGTGAAGCATGATGGAGGTTCTTGCAAGTTTGGGGCTGCATTTCTGCAGACGGAGTTGGGGAGAATGGTCTCCTCAGTGCTGAGAAGTACAGGCAGATACTTATTCATCATGCAGTACCATCATGGAGGCATCTGACGGGCCCCAGATTTATTGTGCAGCATGACAACGAGCCCAACCATACAGCGAAAGTCATTAAGAACTATCTGCAGCGTAAAAAACAACAAGGAGTCCTGGAAGTGATGTGGCCCTCAGAGCCCTGATCTCAACATCATGCAGTCTGTCTGGGATTACATGAAGAGACAGACGCAACTGAGGCTAAAACCCACAGAAGGACTGTGGGGGGTTCTCCAGGCTACCTGCCGAGGTCCTTCAAAAACTATGTGAGAGTGGACCTAAAAGAAGTGATGCTGTTTGAAGGCAAAGGGAGGTCACACCAAATACTGATTTGAATTAAAAGTTTTCTTCTGTTCATGTGTTTGTTCCAGTTTCCTCAAAGGAAGCTAAGGGCCTGGTTCCAACTTAATACAATGTGTTGTTGTAGTGCAGTGAAGTTTGCAAGTCATGTTATATCACATACATATCATAACAATTTAGTTGAGCAGGATTTTATGTTATTGGCTCCATTATTATGTTTATAAACAAAACATATTCAAAAAACAGAGAAAAGACATAATCAGATCCAGACACAAATCAACATATACTGTATAACTGTGGAACCTTCAGGCTTCTTTATAACTGCAGCTGTACATGATGGAAAAAATAATGATATTAGGGTACAATGTCCAAACATTCTTCAAAAAAGGTGCTGCTGACTGACTGTTGCTGCTTGTCTAGACAAACACTTCCATCCACAAATGACATCTGTAAATACAAATGTCATTTTAAAATGTACAGACATCACAAGGATATGTCCATGACAGATTTCACCTACACTGCACAAATTACATGAAAGTGAATGTGAGCATTCTAGAGAGTTTGTGAATGAAAATCTTTACTCAAGGCTCACATACTACTGTAGCGTACTAGCAACTCCACAACAACTGAGCATACAACTCCATTTGCTGATACAGACCATAAATGCAGTTGAAAGTCTAGTAAATACCTGAAGTCCTGAAAGATGATTTTAAGTAATCTTGTTCACACAAGTAATCATCTTGTTTGCACAAGTAATGTTTGCACAAGATAATACAGCACATAATGTTTGCAGGAATAATCTGAAACACATAATTGAAAGTTAACACCACATAGGTTGTATGTGAAATCATACACAACAAGAAAGCATGGTGACCAATTCTGCTAAAACTATCAACATGAGAGGAAGGTTTCAAAGCCCATACGGGCAGGTATGTAAGGCAATGATCCAACATTGGATTTGGACTAATTCTCTTCTAGACCCCTGTGAGCGAGCAGGAAACTGAACCAGACTGAGAACAGGTGCACGGTAGACTTCCTGGTTAGTAATATGTTTTTAGCTGAGATCCCAGTTTAATTACTGTAAATAACATCGATACAACAACAGTTTTTGTGGTGTTTCTATAACAGGAAATTTAATGTATTATTTTGTAACATTGGGTGTAGGCCTTTTCCTTTCACCTCAGTCTTATCTTGAGGAACATCCCCTTCTTTGTGTAGAATTTGAAACTGTGGCTTACCCTAGCCGTATCAGAAAAATACACTGTGGCAGACAGCAATGCATGCTGCCATGGAGCAACCCAGGGACACTGAGATGAACAAGCTTGGTTCCACACCTCTGAATAGCTGCTCACATCTCCAATTTGTTCAGAGATTTAAACAGGCCTGATGTAGTTATCAAACCATTATGTGAAGAAACAATGAACTAACCATAGCTTTAGTAGGTGGAATCAAGAACAGGGATGTTATCTTCCTGCATAACTAGCTAGCTAACTAGCAACATCAATGAAAAATAGCTGAAAATTGACCACAGAAATTGCAACAAGTTGACAGACGTGTGCAGCTGTACAGGTTGCTGTAGCTCTATATACAGAAATGGCAACTCTTAAATGGACATTTCTCTGATTGACATAAAATGTTTATTGCAGCCGCTAACGCAGCTTCTGTGTTGACTGAAAAGGACAAAAAAATGACCTTAGAATAAAAGGCATTCAAAACTCAAGAAGTGAACCATTTGTTATTGTTTTCAAGCTAATGAAACCATTAAATCATTAACCAAGGATAAAGGTCTTAAAGACTTGAATATTATCACACAATAATTCAGTTTCTTTAGATAATGAAGTTATCACCACAAAAAAACAGTATGTTGACTGGAGATAGAAAGAAGTGTTAGTTGTGAGCTCAAGATATCATGTGGCAAAAAACATCCAGGCAATGTCCTTTTCAGTCAACAGCAAAGCTGTTAGTGGTTTCTTGGAGTAGCTTTTCATTGATGTAGCCAAGTAGCCAACGTAGACCTGTAGGTAGATGCCTTCCTCATTCTTAATCCTCCCTACAAAGCTCTAAATTGGTCAGTTTGTTTCTCCCGTGGTCTCAACACCAAACCTATTTCAATCACTGTAGGAATTAGGCTGAGAAAACCACAGACTGAGTACTAACACTCAGTACAAATGACTGATAGCGGTATGCAGGCAGCACATTTCATCGTTCTCCAAAGTGCAAAATCACTATACTCTCCTACGTTAGCGCACTAGGAAGACAAATTGTTCACTCCAGTTATACACAGATTAGCCAAATATTTATATTTCATATGCAAGTTTGTAAGGCTTATTACATTCAAAACTCAACAGGTACATACTGTATAGAGTGCTCTCTTCATCACTATGTGCATGTTTAAGTTCCATATATTTGAGTGTGACTGTTTAGGGTTAATTGACATCAATGCCCTGTTTGGGACGAATACAACTACGTTCAGTATCTTAAAAGCTGCACTAATCAATCTGTTTATATTAATAATGGATTACATGACTATGCGTAATGTGGAAGTGGTCATTTGTTGTGACAAACCCACAGAGAATTATCATCAGCTCTGAAGTGCTACAGAGCTTTTTAGTGTCTTTCAGCTCATTGTTTAAGCTAATATCATTTCCAGCAGCAGGCAGCTGTTGGCAGTAAAAAAGCTCCGATACCCTCCGGTACACTACCCGCCCAACACCAGATGAACAACTTTATATGGTGAGATTATGTCAGATATCTTGTTTTCAGCTTGCAGCAGTTCTCACAAGTTGTCAAAAAAGTGAATGCAGCTTTAAAGCCCCTAGCTACCCATAGTCCAGCCACACAGGTGTTTTAACATGTACAAACTCCACTTGAAATCTCCCCCATGCTTCTGTTGGTTTTGTTGTACCTGTACCAGGGCTGGATATCTCACAACCTTTATCATTTTGTATTAGTATAGAGTTTGGTGACATCACCTAATTTCCAGCACAGAAAGACCTGATTTGAGGTCTGATCAGCCAGAGGAATTTAAAATACCTGTGTGGGTGTGCGGGACTAAAATGTGTTTAATGAAGCACAATGGGAAAATGCTTGTTGTAACATTTTTTATGAAAGAGAAATTAATTCTAAGAATGTTAAAGAGATAAGAACAGTAGTAACAGTAGTGCTATTGTATAGAAATTTAATTTGTTGTGGATAGAATACTGAGACAACACAGACCCTCGGTGTAACTGACAACATAACACCAACAAAACCAACATATAAGCAAAACTAACCTAAAGATACAGTATGAGGAAAGTAGGAAAGAAATGGAAACCATGTAAAGGAGTGTGTGCATTACAACTGAAGAAGGTCAAATATGTCCAAAGGCGGCAGAGGGCAGGCAGCAGATCTGTGTAGAGTGCAGACCTGGGGAAGAAGATGGTGAGGATGACGAGGTATATGAGCCTGCTGGGTGCAGCTAATCCTCACATACACCCACACACACGCACACTCAGTCCATCTTCTCCTTGTGAACCAGTTTGGGGGCGTCCACAAAGTCTTGGCCATTAAACAGGATGATAGTGGCTGTAATCGCACTAGCAGCCCCCCAGAACATCACATAAGCCAGGGTCTCTGTCCACGTGTCGCCTGGAAGACAAAGAGAAGTCATTTATGCTGTGTTTCAAAACCACAGTGAGAACTCGTCACCTGAAGCTCTTTAGCTAAAGGCCATCTGAAATGTTTCAGCCGCAGGTTTTATTCGTCCATCTCACTGATGGAACAGATTCACTTCTATTTTAATCAATACAGCTGCAGCGTAGCCCCTTGCGTTTCACTCGTGATATTCACACATAACTGCAAACCGAACATGTTTTTTTTTGTTCACAGAAAAAGATTTCAGCAGTGCTGGGTGAACCAACAGAGAACAACTTACCAGCCATGAGGAGACAGACGATGCACATGGAAAATGCCACCAGCATAATGATGGGCAGCTGCAAAAGGAACAGGATTCCAAGAATTAAACTAACAGTCACATTCACTGCTGTTGCTGGTAACAGGAAAAATACTCAAGTACTGACCGTAAGGAATTTCCAGTCCTTCTGCACTCGAAGAGGAGTGGGTCCATCTGACTCATCGACAGCAAAGTTACCCAGAAACAGGTCAATGGAATCCTGAAAACAACAAAAGCACGTGTTAAACATGAAATGCTACAGGAGTAAAGCTTTGAGCTTACAGCGTGGCATGAGCAGGAGATGTACACAAGTAATTATGTGGAATTTCATGCTAGTCTTCATTGTCAATAGGTAGTCAACTTGAACTCCTGATTGCAATCTTCTCAAGAATCTTTTACTATAGAGGATGTGTGTAGTTATCAGACCATTATATGCAGTTACTGTGTGTGCATTTATTAGATGTGCTGATATCTTATTCTCTTCACTGCCAAATTCAAGGAAGCTTTGTGTTCAGTTTAGCATACTGCAGAGTTCTCTAAACACACCATGACTGGGCATTAAGATTGAAACTGTGGATTTTTCTGGCACTGTACTCAAAGCATGTCATAGACATCATACCTGTCTGAACCCATCAGAGAAGTTGTTTTTGTAGTAGCGGATCATGGAGTTCCAGCCATCCATCAGAAGCCCCCACCTGGTCCTCTTCCCCGTCCTGATGGTAAAATTAACTTTAATTAGACAGCACCCCTGATAATAATACTGCAGTGGGACTCCAGAAAACAACACACATATTAGTCAACTGGTGTGTGGTATAGGATGTTACAGCACTGTACCTTGTGAAGTCTGTTTTCAAGGCTCCAGTTCCTGCGTACTGTACAGCGCATGCATTGGCATTGTCAGCCCATGCTGGTTAGGGATCACACGCAGAGAACAGTGAGGGCACACTCAGAGGCTACACTTTCTACTAATGACAAAGCACAACTAACAATCCATCACACGCACAGGATATTACCGTTCTTGTAGATTTTCTCAAACTCAGCCTGCTCTTCAATCCGCTGACCCACATTCAGAACCCCCATCCTCTGTGGACACACAGACACAGTACATATACTGACCAATAAGATTCCAGCCTCTCAATGTGAGCAAAATGTGAAATTCCATAAGTTATCATTAAGTTAACAGTATTATGGCAGACAAGGTCTCTCTACTGTTTATGCAGATGGATTTTGCTCAGTTAAGTTTAATGTTGCGTCTTTTCAGCTTTTAGTTTTTAAGTTTACGAGTGTCACTCCATCCACCAATGAAGAAACAATCAATTTCCGAGGTAAAGAATCTTTGAAACTTAATGTTTAACACAAAAAATAACAGCTATAGTGACCTGTGGACAGAGAACTGAGTGGACCTGTGTTTGGACTGTTTTGTCAAAAAATGTGTAAACTGGATTAACACTTAACTGTGTGACACATATACATATATATATATATATCACATACATACATTATTTTGCTATAGGCTTTGCTAAGAGGCTTAGCAGTAGTGGGGTTAAAAATACCTGAAGCTGAGACTGTAGGGAGCGTCGGGCCAGCAGGCTCTGGATGACGTTGGTCCTGTCCAGGCAGTCCATGCAGTTACTGCGGAAGACTCCTCTCTGCTGAGCCACTGTCTTCCCCTCTGAGTTCATCATGAAGTAACTACATCCAGAAAAAAAGTCTGAATACTTTTTCCCAGTACACAACTAGATATTAGCCCAGAGCAGCTGCTGGTTAAGTTACCTGTATTCATCTTGTGTCTCAGCGACAGCATCCACTAAGATCTGGAGACGGTCCCATCTCATGTGGCTGCACTCCTTGTGGAAGTCGAAGGCTATGTAACTGAAGACACAGGAGACAATGTCACTGTGTGAAAGTCCTATAATAAGATTAGGAGGAGATGTCCTGATCAAGTCCCCTTTCAGTCGGTTCACTAAGTACAACACATATAGCATGGCCTGACTGAAGACAGCTCTCTTCATGCCTTTAAGGCAGATGGCCTGTGGTAACGCCTGCACATATATTCATCCGTCATCACGGTCATCCCTCACTTCTTCCGCTCTTCTCCTCTATCAAATTGGCCTAGCTAGCTACAGCTAAGCAGCTCCGTTTCTTCAGTAGGCACCCTGCCACCCTTTGCAAAACTAGGACCAGCATGAGGAATGACGCAAGACTCGTGCATTTTGTTTGCATGACTCCTTCCTCTCTGAGTTGACTCATGCTGGAGAGGGACAGGACCGTTTATTTGGATGAGCCAATTTCTGCTGAGGGTTCATTTGGGTAGTGGCTCACCGAGGAAGAAGCAGCATCATTCCCAGACGTGATGTGAGAGCCAAACCACCCCAAGTGCTACCATTCAGTACCATTCCAGTCGAAAAAGGCATTGCCTTGCCCCGTCTACCAAGCACAACCCACCCATTCACACAAATGTTGAAAACCTCTTACTTTTGACGGTCCAAAGCTCCTGAGCTAGCAGTGTAAACTCACACCTTGTGTTACAAGAGAAAAGGTCTGTGCTGCGTCCCCTCTAGAGACGGCAAACTAATTTTTGTATTCAATAAAGAGGGGAAAAAGCTGTTGTAAACTAGATTTCCTTCCATTTCAGCGGTAAAATCAAACGCACTTTGGTTTTGTAGTTGCTGTACATGACAACTATAAGTCACACATTTTGAGGCGCATAGAGCCGTGTTCACCAACGCAGACTTCCAATTGCTATTTTAAAACTATATTAAAACATCAATTGACAACAAAAAAAAAAAATTGTTTTCTTTAGAGATTATTTTTTTTATCTCTCACTGTCTGTCTGCTAGGGCAGAGCCAACACAGCTTAAAAAAGGGTCTGGAGTAACAGTTATTCTTCCAATAATACAGTAAAAATAAGAAAGCAGTACTTCCAAAATAGGGTCAGGGGTCAGAGAAATGTGATGACTGACCTGCTGTATGTATACATGGTACAGTAACCAGGTTAGTGCATGTAAACGCAGTCCCGGTTACTGCACAGGATGACACTCATGAATGTGAAAATAAAAAGTGGAGAAAGCATTGAGTGACACTTACTTGAGCATACCATTGTTCATCCCAGAAACCATTTTGGCAAAGGCCTGTTCTAGTGGCTTCTCTGAGCCCTTCTGATTCACCTGAAAACAAGTAAACACAAACTGGCCTCATAAATCTTTTCTTATATTTACTTTTAAACAAATAATGAAAAAATACCTTTAAAATAGTGTCCTCACCAGGTTGAGAATAGTTTGCTTCCCATAGATGAGGAGCTGAGAGTCGAAATGCCTCTGGAAACCATCCATCTATACAAAGTTTTCAAGAGGTTAGCGTCAGATTTTCACACCTATCACTATTTTAAAAAAGCAAACAAACATGAAAACGCCTGCTCTTACGTGATTGGTGGTTTTGCTGATGATAGGTTTAGGTTTGTATTTCAGGTTGGGCCTCTGACTCCAGTAAAAGGGCATGGAGCCTCGTGTCTGGGGATGAAAAAAACAGTTTGTCTTGAAAAGTAATTTCTTTAGTTTAAAGTATCGAACACAGAAAGATGTAGACAAATCCAGGTACAAACATAGACTGTATAAAAGAAGTGGACGTAGTCATCATGACGTCACCCGTTGGTTTGTGGACTTCCGTTTTGAAGCCTCGAGTTTAGCAGTTAGGGCGCCGCCATGTAGAGTTTTTGCGACCAGGAAGTGCCCACAAGTGACCATATTTGGACAAGATGGTGGAGCTAACGGCCGTGTGTGGAGCTAGCTAGCTTGCTTAGCTAGGTGCATTTGTAATTCACGTTAACTGTTATTTTAACAGGGCTGATAACTTTGTCTAGCGAACAACAGTCTTAAAACTAAATGTACTCACCAGAGAAAGTGAACAGCCGACTCCTAATACGTTTTTTTAACAGCGCTGGTGAAATTTACACAGTGCCGTGAGTACGAGTCACACTAGCCTGATTGACAGGTCGCCATGGTAAGGACATGTCAATCATAGATAATCCCACCCTAAAGCATACTCTGCTTTGTGGTCTATTTTCCTCTAAATAGGACCATAATTTACTAAATGAACATCATGCTGTGTTGAAGAAGACTTGAAACTGCGACTGAGACCATAAACTCATTAGGAAAGTGTTTACTGATGTAATAAATCAGATTCATTCAGGGTCATTTTACCATTATTTCTAATGGAACCGGACTTCTTTTTGCAACCGGAAGAGTCCTCCCCTGCTGGCTGTTCAATAGAATGCAGGTTTATGGGACTTCCGCACTGGATTCACGTCTCAGACCGGAAGCTTCTAGCTTTCATACAAATGAGCCACAATTCAAGTATTCAAGTAGTCTTTAACTGGCCCTCATACTTGCCTGAATAAATGAAGCCTTTGCTCCCTCATACAAAACTATCTGCTCAGTCTCCACAAAGTTAGCAGCATGGCCTTCAGAGTCGATGCCTGCGGAGACAGCAGAACAAAAAAAACATCCATAAGCAGTCAGCAGTCAGGCAGACAATGTTACCTTCTGCTACTGTTGATTAGAGCAAGAGAAGCTAAACTAAGCTCACACACTATAAGGCACCGGAATTAAACTAGAACACTTTATGAAAATGTATGGGCCCCTTTGCTCTCCATTAGTCAAGATGCACAGTGCACCCGGAAAGTATTCACAGCGCTTCACTTGGTGCACATTTTGTTATGTTACAGCCTTATTTCTAAATTGTACAAACAATACCCCATAATGACAACGTGAAAGCGTGACAGGTGATGAGCAGTGCCAAAGAGATGAATCTTTGTTTCATCAGACAAGATAATTTTGTTTCTCATGGTCTGAGAGTCCTTTAGGTGCCTTTTGGCAAACTCCAGGTGGGCTGTCATGTGCCTTTTACTGAGATATGGCTTCCATCCGGCCACTCTACAACTACCATACAGCCATGACATTACTACCATGCTTCACAGATGAGCTTGTTTGCTTTGGATCATAAGCAGTTCCTTTCTTTCTCCACACTTTGGCCTTTCCATCACTTTGCTAGAGATTAATCTTGGTCTCATCAGTCCATAAGATTGTGTTCCAGAACTTTTACAGCTCATCTCTGTACTTCAATCTGGCCTTGCGATTCTTCCTGCTGATGAGTGATTTGCATCTTGTGGTTTGGCCTCTATATTTCTGCTCTCTGAGTCTTCTTCCAACAGTGGATTGTGATACCTTCACCCTGCACTGTGGAGGTCATTGATGATGTCACTTACTGATGTTTTAGGGGTTTTCTTCACAGCTCTCACCATATTTCTGTCATCAACTACTGTAGTTTTCCTTGGCTGACCTGTTGGACGTCTGTTGCTCAGTACACTAGTAGTTTCTTTCTTTTTCAGGACATTCCAAATTGTTGTGCTTGCTATGCCCAATGTTTGTCCAATGGCTCTGCTCGATTTTCCTTCTTTTCTCAGCTTGACAGTGGCTTGCTTTTCTCCCATAGACAGCTCTCTGGTCTTCATGTTGGTTTATCCTCTTTAACATGAAATGCAGTCTTTATAGGTTTGAACCAAGGATGAAAACTTAGACTAGTCATGCAGAGCTATTTAATGTTTGGACAATCAACCTAAAAGGCAACACCTGGGCAACAAGAAACATCTGGCAGTCACATGTTCCAATAGTTTTGCTCACTTGAAAAATGGGTGGGTTCAAACAAAGGGTGGTTTGTCCTGAGTTATTTAACACATCTAGATGTGAATACCAGGAAATGAGAGCTGAAATTCTGAACTCTTGTCTCATCTTTTGATCTTAAACCCAAATGTCTTGGGTGAACAACAAAAACAAAGGAATTTGCAATTTACCAATACTTTTGGAGGGGACTGTATGTACATGTGCTTTATGATTTTTAGATATAATAAATTTGCAAGGATTTCAAACAAACTTCTTTCACGTTGTCACTATGGGGTATTGTTTGTAGAATTTTGAGGAAAATAATGAATTGCGTCTCTAAATTGTCCTTAGGTGTGAATGTGAGTGTGAGTGGTTGTTTGTCTATGTGTGGCCCTGCGATGGACTGGCAACCTGTCCAGGATGCACCCTGCCTTTCGCCCAATGTCAGCTGGGATTGGCTCCAGCCCCCCCGCGACCCTGTACACAGGATAAGCGGTTGACGATGGATGGATGGAAAATAAATTGCATCCATTTTGGAATAAGACTGTAATAACAAAATGTCGAAAAAGTGAAGTACTGTGAATTTAGAACACTATTTGATGCAGTAGAACAAAAACGATGATTTTGTGTCATGCATCATGGTTTTTTACCTCTAACGTAGTATCTGACACCGGCACGGAAGCAGCTTCTCCTGGATATGAGGATCCACTCAAAGATTTTCCCATTGATACGACACGGCTTCATGACGATGACTGAACCAGGCGGGTCAAGGAAAGGCATTTGCTCAGGAACTTATCTTAAGGATTTGTATGAATGTGTGTGACTGGTGAATGCAGATGTAGTGTAAAAGCGCTTTGAGTGGTCGAAAAGACTAGAAAGGCGCTATACAAGTACGGAGCATTTACATTTACAAGGATAAGGTAAGACACTCCATGAGAACATTTAAAAATATTAGACATTTAGTAAAAAGGATACATCCATGGACAACAGGAAGTGCAAACTTATGAAGCTATGGAGAAATATTGAAAGTTATTCTAATTAAATTGTACAAAAACATTTACTAGCATGACTGAAAAGCAATTTGTGTTACCTCTGGCTGTGCAGCTAGATCTCTCAGGAGATTTCCATTCCACACAAACCGCTGATCTGCCTGAAAGCAACATGATCCACAGATTGAGTCATCAACACATTATTCACCAGTCACATAAGCAAAGCATATGCAACACTTTTTATAATAATGATTACAGTGATTAAAAATACATATACTATACACACATTATTTATAGATATAAATCTTATCATATGTGAACAATTCTAACAGTATTTTTATGTAAGTTAAGATAATGTCACACAGGATTTTGAGAGACTATGGTGGGTGGATCTCAGACCCCCCAGGGGGAAATTTTTGTAAATTTAACTGAAATGTTAAAGTAGTTAAATGCATTAATCTGAAAGCAAAACAAATAGGCTATATATGTATATTGCACTCCTGTTAAAAATGTTGTGCTTTAGTAAACAATTTGATATACGTATACATAAACGCATTGTTGATACATGGAGATGATGCAGCAAAAAAGTGAACATATTTATTTAATGTTTTTTCAGCAACACTAGATCAAAGATTAGTAAGCAATTTTCCAAACATTAATTGTTTTTTAAAATTTGAATGGACACATGTAACATGTTTTATACTTCCTGTGAATATAATACAATCAATCATGTTTCCATACCGTATATATACTGAACAAAATTATAAACGCAACACTTTGGTTTTTGCCCTCATTCATCATGAGTTGAACTCAAAGATCTAAGACTTTCTCTATGTATCTCACAGGTGTGGCATATCAAGATGCTCATCAGACAGCATGGCTATTGCACAGGTGTGCCTTACGCTGGCCACAATAAAAGTAAACTATACGCTACAACCAACAACATAATGAAAACATTTAAATTATTATATTAGGCCGATTGTAGAAGAATATTTAGAAGGCTATAATCAAAGTTAAAAGCGAATTTTGCGTAATAATGTGTTTCTGCTACTGGAAATAGCTCTCATCCCATCTGCTCTCTGGACCCCCGCCCAAAGTACCAAGGTTAAAGTTTTTGGTAATAATAACTTGGTGTTGTAGTTAGCCTATACTATGAGAATAAAGAAATGGAGCACTCTCTCTCTTTCTGTCACACAGACTTCTTGGCCAATCATCCTTCTGCTGTTCTGCTTGTGTATATCAAATATATAGCTGTAGCTTGTGAAATGACAGCCTGTTAATGTTAATTACTATTGAAGCTTCAAAGCTCAAACCATGACATTCAGGCCAGCACTAGTCTGCACATGGGGTTTGCACACATTAAGGAAAATGCAGAATATTCCCCGATCCCTGGTGAGGTTTGACTGCTAGTGTCTTTGTAGAGTAATTTTGTGCATGTGCTCAACCAGCACATGCAGAAGGACGCACGTGTATGCCACAAATTTTGGGGTGTGCTACAGATGGCCAGCATGACTGAGCACAACCATAAAACCACTTCTGATCAGGGTCTATTTTTGGCATTTCTGACCACAAGTGTTTCTGACCTCTTTATGGTAAGAACATGAACATAGTGTGGACTTCTGTAAGGCAATTTATTGGATGTCTCACCCTCTCCAGCAGACTCATCTCCTGGAAGTCGGGGCTAGTGTTGGCCAGCCGCTGCAGAGTGTGTGTCAGGTCGTAGTGAGTGCAGAAGTAGAAGCCGTCTGTAGTCAGCACATTGTTAATCATGGACAGGAAAGTCTTATTCTCCTGAGACTAGAAGAGGAAAGAAAACAGACTTTTAGTTTTCAGAAAACTGCATACTCATACTGTTTACTGGCACTGCATATGTTAAGGATGGACCTATCAAATGTTACCTCTCTTTAGACCTCAACTCTATCTAGTATCTGCTGATAGAGTACCAATATGATACTCTCTCTCTTTTACCCAGATTTACAATCTGTATATCTCACTGCATGGACCATCTTTTCAAAGTAACATCAAGCCTTTGAGTGCTGTGGCCATTGGTGTCGCCAGGTAATTTTTCCGGGGCTTTAGCCCTGGATGTTTTGACAGTAGCCCCGAATGTAACTCAACAACAGCGACAAAAGTATTTTCCATGTTAATATGCAGTAATCTTCATGATGCAGCCTGTCTCACAGGTCTTCAAAGAGCGGAGACTACTCGCAATAATATTGCTACATTTTGTTTAAAGTTCACGTAATGTGACCCCCCCAGAGAATTTCTCACAGCTTCAGGGCTTGTCTGCGACTTCTGAACTGTCCCCAGCAAAATTGTAATCAATACATTTAAATGTAAATGTTGTCAGTCAGTGTCTTTGCTACACAAATGATTAACAGTTGCACTTTTCAGAGGTGCTGAAGTGAACATTTGTGTGGAATTGTGGTGATATTTCTGTCTGATCACAAGTGTTTTCAGCTTCGGTTTTCTTCCTCTGATGAAGAGCAGCACGCTTGCCTCATCGAGTAGGCTACATGTCAAATTATTTATTTATATTGGCCTAACTGTTTTTTTCAAAAATGGGCCAACGATCAGCCCATAAAGCATCAGGTCTATACTGACATTGGGCTGGCCGAATCACATCTCTTACAGCACTCACTCCCTCACCCTCTGCTGGAGCCGTTTCTTGTGTTGTGACCAAAAAAAACAATAATTCGCCAAATGCGCGAAAATAACCGATATATAGATATGAGCTAAAAAAATAATAAGCTACTGATTACTGCATTACATTATATTATATTTTTATATTCTGAATTGTCACTTGCCACCTAAATCTTTTCCGTCCCTTTATAAAAATAAAGACTTTTCCACCATAAATTGGTGCAGAAAATGTCTCCAGAATTCAGGAAATAAGGTGTTTAATGCTCAAAATCTGAAATGGTGCCATATGCACATTTGAAAGTTGATCTACAGGAGAAACATATCTGACAGCCTTGCTGCATTATATTACACTATAGCACTTTGTAACTTGTTTTTGAAAAGTGCTCTACAAATAAGGATTATTATTATTTTTATTCTTATTTTGAATTGTCACCTGAGACATTTCCTCAATAAATTGGTGCAAAGAAATTCACCAGAATGCAGAAAAGTAAGTGTTTAAAGCCCAAATTTTTCAGGGGGAGGAGCCCCAGACCCCCCAGTTTAATATTTGTTAATTATTATCAATAGCAATTATAAAATTCATAATAAATGTAGGCTATATATGTAATTTACTGTTGCTGTATAGATGTACTTTGGGTAGACGGCACTGGGGGGTGGGGGGTTAAAACATGAAAGATTTCTGTGCTGGGCTAAGCCCCCAAAGTGATTACTTACTAGTAAAATGATAGTTTAAAATTTGGACTGGCAATGAAGCTACTGTTAAAGTCTTACTACCAGTGGGGCTTAAAATGTGTCTTGAAGGTTCTGTAAGAAGAAAGGTCATGAGGTCATAATATCAAAATGATTTATGAGGTATCTAATGACTGCCAGGCATAAAAGTCATTGCAATGTGTTTAATGGACACATTTCATTGGTCAAACACTAATTTCTGAAATTTCGAAAGAAACAACTCTGTAAGATTTCCTATCACATAATTTTAGCCTTTGATTTACATAAAAGGTGTAGAAACACAAGCTAACTACCTGCTTTCAGTGAACATCTCACATAAACATTCAGAGCCGCCTTAACATTTTTATTCATAATTAAATAAACAAATACAATTCTTTTTTATAATACTGTAAAATATTACCAGGACTAACTAGCTCTACGCTGCAATATCACACCAATGCTGCTCCTTCATTTCCATGTCTTCTACATGAATCATCAACTGGTGAGGATGCTGACTTTTTACCTTTAGCATCACATCATGTATGTAGCCATCATGAGCATTAAGACCCTTTTACACATTTCTAGTTTAAAAAAAAGTCAGCTGGAAACATTAAAAAGTAAGACTGCATTTTCAACTAGTACAGCCACTGAAATCTGCCAATGACCGTTTTCATGTTAGCTGACAAGGTTGGAAACATTACCACTGTAAACTGCATTGGGAAGTGCTGGAGTGTTAAGCTTGACAGGTGTAGCAACAGTAATTACGTGGCTTAGTGAAGGGTCTAAGTGAAGGGTCAATTTAGGTCTCTTTCAGATTTTTTAACTTTTGATAGCTTGTGCTTTCAGTCGTAAGTCATTCAGTCATGAATAGGAAACCAACAGGGCTGAGTCTTATGCTTTGTGCATCTCTGCTGAGCTAATAGGATCTGGCTGCTAAACCAGTTAGCACACAGAGTGAAGCCTGACGTTACACCTGCACCGTTCAACTGTTCACACACTGCTTTCAAATACTCCCCTCCACAGATCAGCTCTATGCCGTCCTGTTTGACCAGAGATTATACTTACAGACTAGTTTGTATTTGCTACTAACATACAAAAAACACTAGTATTTGTAATAAAAAAGAAAGAAAGTAATATCTGCTTGATAAAGCCACACAGTCTAATCTACTACAACCAACAGTGTGTTTTCTATTATACTTTCTACCCTTCATACTGTATTTTACCATGTGGCGCATAGCTTTAAGCCAAGGCTGCTCTTTCAATTAGTATACTAAGAACAGAGGCAGAAGCAGATTAATAATGCACTGCCTGCTCCACTGAAATTAGATAGCACAGTGTGATTCCAGACTGCAAAGAATGACTGATCCTGAAACATGAGGTCTCACTCAGAGAGACACCCATGCAAGTTGTCTAATTTCCATAGCACTCAACAGAAAGAGCGCGATAGTATACTGAATTACAGTACTACTAACAGTAGGGGTAGCCGTGGACTGGGTTGAGGACATCATTTGAAAATTTAAGTTCAATTTTGACTGCTCGTTGTCAAAAATGATAAACTGATGTAATATGAGTGAATAGGAGTACACTGGGTGCTTAGTCAGTCAATCAAGCTGATTCTGTAGTTATTTGCACCAAATGAGAGCAAAAGACCTGGGACATCCAGCTGTCTCTGGACAGAGCTGGGGTTAGGAATTCATACAGTCTTATCATTTGATTCCTTGAAGACCCCTTGTTATAAGGGAGTTCTTGATGGCGACTATTTATACATTTTCAACTGTCAGCTGTAAACAACAAATATACAAGTTTATTTATCCTTATGTAAATTAATGTTAGATAACAAACCAGTAACTTTGATTAATGTAAATATCTCCCCATAGGAGGAACAATAATTTATCATTGTCATTACTCTACTGACACATTACTTTATTTGTTTGCATTAAGTAAAGGATTTCTGATAGCAGCGAGGGGTTTTAATATAGTCCCAGATGCCAAAGTAGATTTTCAGAGTCATAGGTCTCCCTATGATTAAAGAGTAGCAATCATTTTGAGAAAAGCCCAGGAGGAATTTGGAATTATTGATGTGTGGAGAACTTTGCACTCTGGTGAAAAGGATTATAGTTATAGTATATTTACTCAAAATATTACTCTATTCAAGACTGTGTTCAGTAAAGATCTAACATAAAATTTAAGGCTGTCAAATCCATCAGATAACTTTATCTAATCATTTTATGACCCTACAAAAGTCATAAAAAAAAAAAGAATATTAAGCAGGATACTCATTCAATTCAATTCAATTACAATTTCAAAAATAAAATAAGATCCATCATTACAGATTATATTTTAAATAATGACAATAGTGACATCAATCCCTGTAATTATGGGAAAGACTTTTGGATTATATAAAAAAAAAAAAAAAACACAAAAGACCACAAAAAGACTTCAGAAAGAACTTAATTAACTAGACAATTTCTGGAAAAATTGCGGTGTGAATGCTGGCTGTTGAAGGCCGACGCTAACCTGGATTGCTAACCTTAAACTTTGTATCATTTTGAATGATTCAAAGGGTTACAGCCCCAGAATGCAAGCTCTCATTTCAGCCAGAGAGACAGGTGGACTATAAGACTGTGAGAGGGACTGTGGGACAGAGACACAGGGGGACTATAAGACTGTGAGAAGGACTGTGGGACAGAGACACAGGGGGACTATAAGACTGTGAGAAGGACTGTGGGACAGAGACACAGGGGGACTATAAGACTGTGAGAAGGACTGTGAGACAGAGACACAGGTGGACTATAAGACTGAGACTGTGAGATACAGAGACCCAACTGTTCCCAATGAAGAGAACTGTGTGTGTGTGTGTGTGTGTGTGTGTGTGTGTGTGTGTGTGTGTCTCTCTCTCTTTGTCTCTCTCTTTGTGTGTTAGTTGTAGTACCCGGTAGTACTAGTAGTAATTAATGCAGTAGTGGTGGTTGTAGTAGCAGATGCAGTACTCTGGATGCAGTACACTTAACTTCATACAAGAAATAGCTTAACGTCTGTCCACCAATCAGAACACAGGACCAAGTATGTATGTATGTATGTATGTATGTATGTATGTATGTATGTATGTATGTATGTATGTGTGTTAGTGAGTGAGTGAGAATGTGTTATTAACATCACCTGGGCAACCAGCACAATATGAACAATATGATGTTTTTGTTTGGATAAAGTTGAAAAAAGTGACCACTTTGGCGAGTTGAAAAACTGGTACGTCACTCTTGTCCTTTGGAAGGACACAGAGACAAATCTATAACTCCGAGGGATTTAAAAAGCCCATGTGAGGAACCACAACAAAATTTACTAAATTTCTTTACCATTTTATTGTACTGTTAAAATTGTGGTCAAGCCAGCGAGTTAAAGAGAAAATTCTAAGAAGATTTTCTGAGCCATAAAATATATCAAAATACTGAATACATCATTAATAGATTAACTTCTTGTGACCAATTTACAGTTTAAATCAAGTCTGTAATGGCTGAAAATATGCTGAGCTGCTGAGCTTTCAAAGTAGAGTAGGTATGAGGAGGATTTCGACAGTCTCTCCATTCACTTACAATGGGAGAATTTTCCAGGAAAACCTTGAATATTTTGAAAAGTATTCAAGGTATCAATGACAAAAGTAATAGCACCCCATTCCTCATTGAGCCGGACAACTTGGAGTTTGAACGAGTTTGAGTTTTTACGTCAAAAGCTGTGGGACTAGTTGAAGGACAAAAAAACGTGACGGAAGAATAATAAAGGTTAGCAATACATAGCATGCGAATGGTTGCAGCATTTACACCCAATTAATTAAAGCTGCAGCGTGCAAGAGGAGGGGGGCTGCGCAGTGTGTGCACGAGCAGTGACACTGCATTAAAGCGTTAGAAAGGAGAATTACTCCTCCTGGCTCTGATTGCCTCGGGACTGGTGGATTCTTGCAAATGGTATTAGAAGCAGTAGGAAGAGCCTCATTTTTGCACAGATTAGCTGTCTCACACACTTTTGCACATATAACATTTACATTCATTAATTTAGTGTAATGTAATTTTATCCAAAGCGACTTACAATTGCTATACATGTCAGAGGTCGTACGCCTCTGGAGCAACTAGGAGTTAAGTGTCTTTCTCAGGGACACAATGGCGGGGGGGGGTCCCAGTGGGGGATTGAACCCGGGTCTCTCACACCAAAGGCATGTATCTTATCCATTGCGCCATCACCAAACAACACAAAAAGTTATTTTTAAAAGAATTCCCTTCTGCAGCTTTAATGATAGATTCACACACGCTGGGGGAGGCACCATTACATTCAAAGTCAATGCAAAGATGTGGAAAAATCCTGCCGAGCAGTGCGCTGGTTGCGCTGGAGACAATGCAAATCCACAGTCGTTACTTGGATTTTTTGGGATAAAAACGTTGATTAATCTTTACCTGTGCTTCTTAGCAGCGAGCTGCAGTGTTTCCAGCCCCACTGTTCTACTTGTAGCTGCCAGTGCTCTGTGGGAATACTTCATATAAATACAGACCGGACACAACAGAAGACTGCTTGGAGAAAAGTAAGGGAGGAAGTTGAACTACTTGCTAAGTTCAGAAAATATGTATACTTGATTCCAGCCATCATTGTACTTTGTAGTACAGCTGTAGTAATGGCAGGTTGTGTTTATTTGCAATTTTGCGTTGTGTGTGAACACTTGTGAGAGTAGTGAAGTGGTCAAACTCACAGTATGAAAGCGATGCGAATTTAAAAAGTGTGTGAAACCAGCATTAGGAACAAAAGGGACCAAATATTATATTATTTATATTAATATCAAACAAAGTATTATGACAGTGGGAATATAAAAAAATGGAAAGTCTAGTTCATAGATTTATAAAATTCAAGCACAATGACATGTATCCACAATTATATGTAAATAAATAATAAACATATATAGTAACCAAGAAATTGAACAAGACTGCAAATTATTATAGACAACGCTATGATAGGGATAGGAAACGGCTCTCTAAAGAACAAATACATTTTTTTTTTTATTCCACTAACTTTTTATATGTCAAGACCTTCCTGAGACCATATGTTACCATATGCCATCCTGGAGCTAATGTCCCATGGAAGGAATGCATGCAGACCTAATCAGAGACTGCCACAGAGGCTGGAGGGCATCACAGGAGGAGAGCCATCCGCAACAGCATAGGGCTGCAGAGAAAGCCTCCAGGTGGCTCTGGATACAGAGAGTGGATCCGTGGTAGAATCCTGCCAGGGCACAAGCTGAGGCCTCATAAACCTCAGCTGGGTCATCTGGGTGAAGGAGTCTGATATTGCGAGACCTGAAACACCTGGTGAGCCCAGTGTACATCACTGATGATGCCCTAGCTAAGCATCAGATTATGTACCTTAGTCACTATTTACTTAAAGAGAACAGTTAAAATATGCTGAACTGGAGGTTACAAACCCAGTACACACATAATTAAAACATTAAATTTTTGTAATTTTTTTTAAATCCGTTTGTTTTTCCCTTGATCATCCACTTCCTAAATTTAACTGGATGATGATTTTATTTTTGAGTTGAGTGCATGTGACATCATTTAAGCTTTTGGTTAATGTTTTGCTCATGAATAGTTTCTACTGCCAAACGTTTGCTATTCTGAGCCATGGACTCCTACCCATTAAATTATTTTACAAGAGAGATTTTCTGTATTTTGTGTTTTGTGTCTGTGCTCTTCTTACTGCTTTTAAGTGAGTAACATGGTTGGAAAAATGTGCTGTAATATATTTCTGCTGAGGATTTAGCAACATCTGAATCAAAATGTAATGTGAGTTGTGTGGTTGTTTGCTTCTGTCGTTGTTTGCAAATCAGTCAAATCTGATCAAACCACACCAACCAACTACATAGTCCTGGATGAAACAGATTAGAGTGTTTGATAGTAACATGCAAACATTTTGGGAAATACTCTTGTCTCACACAGAGTCAGAAAAAAATCAGTTCATTAGATTTTGTCCAGTACAAAGACTGGTCCGAAAAAAGTCTAGACGCACAGGAAAACTAGCAGTAAGTAAGGCAGCTCTAGAATTGTTCAAATGTATGGTTTTTTTCACTTTTGAGAGGGCTAGGACATTGAAGATCATTTTTGAAATACCACTGACTTGAGGTTGTAAATAAACCACTACTTATTCCATGTGTGGGAAATATTTCTATTAGTAAACTCATCCCCACCATTATTTAATTTGGCAAATGTATGGTGAATCTGCAGCTAATTTTACAGTGTTAATGTACTTGCTTAATTGCTAAGTGTATTTTTTATTCATTGGTATTAAATGGTCTTACTGACCTGGATCTCTGAGAGATGCAGCACTGTCTTCTTATAAGAGATGACATCAAAATCCACAGCCTTCCACACAGCGTGGCCCAGGAGGCTGCCCACATTCCTCTTCCTGGTGATAACAATCAGGTACATTCCTGTGTGGTGTAAGTGGTCAGTCACAGCTATTTTATTGTACAGGCTTCAAAGACATGCTCATCAGAGCACTGACAACACAATGCTGGATCACCACAGAACCTACCTGCTACCAAGCGAATGGTTCCCATGATACCACATATAGGCCTGGTGACCGCTGAGGGAGGAACATCTTTTTTACCTGTGAAAGCACCACAATGGTTAACAAATTAGATGCTTTATAAAACGAGCAACACTTTAACTTTTTATTTAATCTGGATTCTCAACTGCCAGCTATGGGCTTCAGCTATTAAATGTAAAGCCAGTGTTTCCCATAAGTTCATTTATTTGTGGTGGCCCGCCACAATATCAGCGCTGACCGCCACATATTGATTTTCGATTTTTTTTATTTTTTACTAGGCCTATTTACAATCGCATTTGATTGCAGAGCACCGTAGCGCATTCGCGCAGCACATCCTCTCGCTCGTCCCTCTCTAACCCTAACATAAACCCCTAACCCGAATTTGAAAAGCCCTTCCACCAATATGTCTGGGCTGCAGTGCGTCAGGATTCATTGGATGACCCAGGTACTAATCTGGTGAATTGTTTTAAGTGACATAAATGGTACACTGAAAGATTTACTTAATAAAATAGTGTTATATTTTCCATAACAGCAAGCAGCGCATCACAGGCAACAAACATGTGATAACATATGAAACTATACACTTGAAAACGGCATCAATTTAAATGTAATTTGTCCTCCTGTTCACCTTACCTCACCTTATAAAAATACACTGCATTGCATGCAAGTATTAATTATTATGATTCTTGATTAAACTGTACAACATATTTGAGGTGTTCTTTTGCAGAAACAGATATCTCTGTTTGTGGTCATTATCCTAAATCTGGTTCTTTTTGTGCGCCGCAAATGATCTTAAATTATGTTTTATTTGCATACTTCAGGGAAAATCATCAAACAGTGTTTTTTTATTCAGAAAAGGCTTTAAGCCTATAATACTCAGAGGTAAGATTTATTTTACACAATAGTAGGCCTATTCATTTCAAACCGTTTCATCCTTCTGCCATATGAGTCGCCTCCTCTTTATGTCCGTACGCAAGGTTTACTTACAGGACGCAAATTCTCCCGTCAAGTTTGTTTTTTTTATAGATCACAACCTTTGCTTGGGAAGTGGCGTACGCACGTTTCCAGCCCTGTTTTGTACGTACACACCGTTTATAAATGAGACCCATGGGCCGTGCACATCCCATGTCAGTTAGTGATGTATTCAGTCAGGATAAGTTTCCTTAAGAAATCCAGCTGTTTCTGGGCTTTCTTCACCAGTGTGAAAATGTGAGATTTATAGAACTTTCTTTTTATAGAACTGGAACTTAGAATAGAATATGAAAGTTCAACGGTTGAGAAAATGTAGCTCCAGAGGCCATGGCTGTCTGACGGCAACGTGAACCACTGAAAATGTTAAAACTGAAAATGTTGAACTGAAATTGATCATTTTCAGTGAGCCTTCTTTTAGGCGGCTAAAACCCATTAGCTGCTGACCCTGTCATAGCAGTACATTGCTTAGCTTCAGTGCCCATACAACTCTTTCAACCCAACTATCCTTTTACACTTTCCTGTGGAATAGAATAAATATACCTCTGCCAGACCACTAAAGCCATTTTAGCAGCACATAGAGCATTTCTTGCATCATCTAATCAGACTTAAAGAATTAATATCGGCTAATGATCCTTGGCAGATCGTTTGGCGCAGCCTTGGTAGTAAGGCTCAGAATGTCCCACCAAATAACCTTATATATCACTGAAGTACTGAAACTGTCCTCTGTCCATTTAAAAATATATTCACTGTGTGTTGAAAACCTGTGGTCATAAAAGCAAAAGACCCTCCTAGAACGTACAGTAGCCCTCACAAGGCAATTGATGGCTAGCTGCAAGGTACAATTTTTGGATATTTCTGATTCTGAGAATAGAAATATATGGCATACCTGCCTCTCTAATACATGTAGACAAAAAACAAAGCTCAAGGCCTGAGGTTCAAAAGGTGGTCAACTGTAACTTGAACAGTTGTGTCTTTGTAAATAACATCTCTCTCTATGTTTCTCTGCAAACCGCTAAAAGTAAAGTCTATATGTGGGGAAAAACTGCTGATTGCACATCAATCAATTCTAGATTTTCTACCTGTGAGGGTCATCTCATTTGAGACCCTGTCAATTGCCAGCACAGCATCAGCCCCCTCATCGCAGGCCTCAATGAAGAACTTCTCTGGGGTTGTGTGCCTGGGAGAGAACAAGGGAGATGTTAAGAGTTTTCCATCCAGGGGTAAGATAATGTTTCGTCAGGTTTACCAAACATCCCAATGTGCTATGGAAAAGGATTTGGAATGATAATGTTCTCCTCCACAACTGTAAATGGAGAGTACAGAATATATTTCCTCATTGTTAGACATTTCCCTGTTTTATAATCTGTTCTCACTTTGCTGTTAATGCAAACTAAACACTTCCTTCAGGCTTATCTGTTGTCTTGATAAAGTCACTATAAGGTACATTTCCCTCGCACCTCAGTACATCAACAGAGTGACATAAACAAACAAAAGTGCTCTGATGCTAGCAAGGCTAATTTGCAAACCTAAATCGTGTTTATTTCAGTTGCCTGTTTTGTTAATGATTGATTCAAATGAAATCCACTTTTGCTGGGGTGGGGGTCCATGAACTTTTTATGGCTTCCTTAAGGGAGGTGTGACAATAAGTTCGGGAACCACTGGGTTAAGCAGAGGTTGGAAGTTGGTCTGATACATCTTTTGAAGCACAGGGTTAATACACATACCTAAGTAAACAAAACCTTGCATTGCCCATCTGAAGAGTGACAAACCAGGGGGTGGAGCGTAACTTGCTTGACCCAATTTCATCACCTCAGATTTATTAAAATGTATTTCGTAACCAGAGAATTGGCTAAATTGATTAACAACATCAAGAATTGAAGCAGTAGATATCTCTAGCTGTGTGACAAACAATAAAACATTGTCCGTATACAACCACATCTTATGTTGCTTTTGATTTATTGGTAAATTTCTATGGGCTTCCGCCAGCAGCCCAATCGCAAATAATAAAGGCAATTTCTTCCCCTAGCTCTTCTGCAGGATAGCCTGCATATACTGCTCCAACGCACAGAAAATACAGCATCTCTGTATCAATTGAATAGAAAGAGGAGTGTTTGTATTTTTGACGGTATTGAAAGTCCTACCGTCAGGATTTCTAAATACCCTGACATAACATAATACCGTCCAAGCCTACAGAGCAGGCACATACAAGGAGGGAGAAACAAAGGTGTATGAGGGTGTCTGTAGGGAAAAGCAAGGTGAGAGTTTGTGAAAGTACTTTGTGAGTAAACACTATAGGTGGAAAATTAAGTAGAATATGTAGAATTAAAATGTTGAGATAAAGTAAAGTTACGAAAACATTTGTGTATGCTGTCACTTATAGTTCTTTGAAAGACATTGTGGTTATATGGTAGGCACCTTGACCACTACGGCTCCCAAGACCCACCTTTCCTATAAAGCCACTTGATTCCGTATTTTAAATGGACCAGAGATCATGCAGCTTGAGAAATACACAGCTTTAAATCCCTTCAGCAGAAAAATGTGACCTCCTGTTTAGTGACGTTTCAGGGTGATACTGTCAAAGACTCAGCTCCTGTAGTGACACAACCACACAAACACTCTATTGTTGGCCTTCCATAATCAAGACCACACTAAACATGCCAGTGCTACACCAGCACCAAGTAGTATTACTGAGACACGAACTGTTTAAGGACCACACCAAACTTGCATTTTTTTTTTACTTATTTACTACAAACCATGTGTTTGTATTAAGTAAGTTAAAAAAATGCATTTGACAATTTTGTTTCCAATTTTTGGATGGGTTCTAGTGCTGCTCTTGGTGGGAATGGTTGGGTTTCTGTAAATAATACCACAGAGTACAGTCTAGACCTGCTCTTTTATGATAAACGCTCTGAGATAACTGTTGTTGTAATTTGGCGCTATATAAATAAGATTGAACTGAATTGAATAGGTTCTTCCTACATTTCAAGAAACCACTGATTTATATTAATTTCAGTTTAACATAAAAAACATCTTGCAGAGACTTTGTTTTAGTTAGATGATCCTAATCCATCACAGAGAACATCATGATTTTATTGTTGTGGTAGTGTGGACCGATTAACAATTAAGCATCATGTAATAATATCTAAATATTTGATTTGTATATTAAATTTGAAAATAATAATAATTAATATACGTAATGTTCACAGGGACAATCAAGGTTCAAGACTTCTCAAAATGATGACCACACCATAACAAATGAGTAGAAGTAAATGGCTGCCTGGGATGTTGAGAATCTATTTGAAAGGCAAAAATATTAGTATGGTAATGATTCCAATGGTTCCAAAACTCTGGTTCAGAACCCCCTACACAGTCGCAAGCTAAATCTGAGGAATCACAAGATGACTAATATGATATTAAACATATTTCTGCTACACAAATCATCTATTCTCTATATTTATCTTTCTATTGTGAAACACTGGAAAGTTCGACCTCTACAAAGTATTCCAATGAAACAAAGGGAATGATAATCTTAGGTTAAACTTGTTGCAACTAATGTACTACTAGTGACATGGGGTAGTGAGTACACGTTCTTGAACTTGCCCTTTCATACCTCACTGTAGCCAGGATTAAGATTAACTCTGAGGTTATGAGTTTATATTTTTACTTCTCATTTTATATTAAATTAATTATTAAATTTTGTTTTCTGTAAATATTATCTCCTCACACAATGGTCTAAATGCTGTTTCAAAGCCTTCTCCACAATGATGTATCAGGTGGAGAGATGCAAACCCCCTCTATTTAAATTTATATTGGGGCATAGAGAAGAGCCTTTAAACTCACCATGTGTAATGTATGTAACTGTGACAGGTAACAGGTAACATGCAAAACGGTGATGTGATCCTTAAAGTGATCTGTTTAAACGCCGAGGTACACTCCAAGTTAGCACTGACGGCCCAGCACACACTACAGGTTGTAGAGTGTAGCTGGGTAGTTCGCACTTTGAATGAGGTGACTTGTTTGAACAAGGGCGTGTCTGGAAAAGTACAGAAGATCTATCAACGTTCAGTCAAGTTACAGACGGCAATACGGCATCGTTACATTTCACCAAACGTCAGTATTCGGTTCACAGTCAGCTGACTGGTATTCGTTAGTCACGAGAGTGAATAAACCATTCTTGTTTAAAATAAACGTCATAAAACGACTGCCACCCCTGAATGAAACTGACAATAATAGACCCTGATAATGTTATACAATTAACGACAACCCCATAGCGTAAAACAACCATTTGCTGCTAGCTGCCTTACGTTAACGTAACTAACTTTCTGCCCCATTATCCGCACTGAGGCAGATAAAGACACGGGGCATTTGGCAGCCATACACACCTCCTGCAAAGTCTCTATAATAATGCCAACATATGTTGTTCATAATGAATGAGTGTTGAGAAACTTAACAGATTCCTGTTCTACCAGCCGAGCCTGTCAACGAACTTCAGCCGCTGGGTCATCTAACGCTACCTCTTAACTCCAGCTGCTGTTTCAACTCAGCCATCAGCTTCGCATCCTGTTTGCATTTTGAAAGACTTGGAAATAAGAAGAGTTTTTTAAACGATTAACTATAGTATATGTACTTACAAATTGTATCTCTCGTAGGCGGTCGCCATCTTCGCTCCGTCTACCTGACCTCAGTGACGACAGTAGTGCGAGTGGGTTGTGTTGCCAGATACGAGTTGTAGCACCCGTAGACAACATAGCGCCTAAAATGCAGCTTTCACTTCCAATCTAAGACAACCTGGCAACCATGAAAGGCGTGACGATGGCTGTTTTGTATTTACGGGGTGCTACTTGTAGTTCAGTCATTGTAACTGGGTGAGTCAGTGCCATACACTGTAGAAAACACAGAAAACGCAAAAAGCACAGCTACATATTTGGTATTGATGTTGGTTATAAAAATAAATAAATGCAAAACATGGTGGCTGCATCACTTCTTAACATTTTCTATACATTTGTATAATGTGCCAATAAACTGCCCTGACACATTTAGCTGGCCAGTGTGACAGGATCTGACATGCGACCTGAAAGCGCTGCTTTAAAAAAAAATAATTATTTCAGTCTGTCAACAATACAACACTCACATACAGATAAATCTATTATTGCTCTGTTTTACATTTATAAGCACAAATTTTTCATTAACTGTACTCATATTTGCATTTGTAATAAATTTGTTATTAATGGCCAGTAGGCTATGTGTCATGTGATTTGGCTTTAAATTAAATTATCTTTTTTATTAAAAAAGACCATTGTTTTCAGAAAGGGCTGGCCAGTAACTGTATCAATAAAATTGTAATGTCTGTTTCTAACAGTAATAAACAAGCAGAAGACATCCACAGATTATGCACAACTTATTTTGAGGCTAACTGAAGAAATCAGGTTAGTGACGGTACAGTTATTGTATGTCAAGACCCTGACACATCCTCTATAACATTAAGTTTGGAGATGCAGTTACAGGTGCATTTCTCTATAATACTTTCTGGTCATGGGAGGGTGCTCAGTTCAATTCAGTTCAGTTTTACTTATATAGCGCCAATTCAGTTACTTCATTGCACTTTTCATATAGAGCAGGTCTGGACCATACTCTTTGTAATATTATTAACAGATGATCCGGTAATTCCCACCATGAGCAAGCACTTGGCAACAGAGGCAAAGAAACACCCCCTTTTTCAAACAAAACTCAGGGGGCTGAGTGGAGGGCATTGGAGATGGCATCCTCTGTGGATCTGTTGGTTCTGAAAGCAAACTGGTGAGGGTCCAGGCTGGCTGGGATGTTGTTCTTTATGTGCTGAAGAACCAGTTTCTCAAAGCACTTCATCAGAATGGGGGTGAGAGCCACAGAGTGGTAGTCGTTCAGAGTAGACACTGCAGAATTTTTAGGTCCAGTAACGATGGTGGCTGTTTTGAAGCAGGTTGGAACCCTCTCCTCTGATGTTTTTGATGGCCTCTCCAGTCTCTGCTGATGTCTCCGCTTTGACTCCTTGATGCCAGCTTTCAGTGTCGCTCTGGCGGTGCTGTAAACTTCTTTACCCCCTGACCGAAAAGCAGCTTTTTTGGCTCTGGATAGAGCCCTCACCTCTCCATTCATAAAGGCCTTCTGATTGGGGAATGATTTTATCGTCTGAAAAGAAGCAGAAGAAGCAGTTATACTACCACCATCATTCCTACCTATTTATACTCACATGCCTCTCTCCTGTGACAGAAACAGGTGGGTGGTGATACAGTGATGTGATTTATCAAATAGATCACCAATCAATAATTCTAATTGAGCTCATTCACAGGACAAGTTTACACCTGGATTTTTATATTGCTAAACTGCCATAACAGTGATATACACAAAATAAACTTTGGTTCTAAAAATTTAATGCTTTTAATGCTTTTCCATTCTTTGTTGATTCAACAGACTCAAATTTCAAGATTCATTTAAAGTTAAAGATCCACCTTCACACTCATATTCATTGCATGTTTGATACCAACCTTCTTTAACATGTCTTTTTTAATTAAACTGGATTCTTTTCTGGGCAGGTTTTATTGTCATTTAGTAAAAGGGCTGCAGCAGTCCCTGTGTGTTAGCTGATCCAGCAGCAGTCCCTATAGCCAGTGTTAGCTGATAGAGAAGCAGGTTCCTGAGTTTGAAGCTGAATCTTCACACTGCCTTTTCAGCTACAAGAATCGCTAGTTTCAAGATCTTTCCATAGAAACAAAGAATTAATATATTTTCCCATTTCCCTTGTGTCTCTAAAAGCAATGATTAAATTTTTCTCTACATGCATACAACATGCCATTTACTTTACAGATGGGATGCCAGCAAATGTTGATGGGTACAGAAGCAGAAGCACTGGGTGACGCTGCTCATCATTTTAACAAAAGATTGACAGATGATGTTCCCAAGCAATACAATAGATCTCAGATTTGTGAAATCAGATATATCATATAAAAAGCTCACAAAGAAACAACTACTTCTAAAATACTAATATAAGACATTTCTGTGTTGCACAATGTGCAAACATTTACAGTTAAAGTGGAATAACGAAGTAGGGGCACTGTTAATTTGTGTTAAAAGTATCCTCCTTAAAATCCCCAGATCCAAGTGTTTAGCGCAATCTTTGAGTTTAATTTAACCTGCATTTAACTCGGTTGGACGGATATTTCTTTCCGGCACTTTTCTAATGCTGCGTCAATCTGGGTTTACTTTTGTGTCTTTACGTACAATTTTACATAAATGCCCGTAAATCAAAATTGGCTTAAGCTATTGTTACCAAACTCAATGCGTTGTTCAAATGCTCGGCCCGAGCTTCGCTGAGCAGTTCTGGGATATTCTTTCCACTTGTAAAAAGTTTATACCTCGTAATGCGCTGAATGTATTCGTCCAAAATTCCGTAATGACTGCGCAAAGTGGGCGTGGCTTATTTCAAGAAATGTAAATTTCTAGACATTTCTCATTCCTAACTTCAAAAAATCTAAGAAAATCACCCGCACGTCCTAGAAAGCTGAAACTTTTTCAGCTCATCCACTGATTTTTGGCTAACGTTTGCCTCACTGCAACCTATGGTCAATTCAGAAGTCACTCTATATTTTTCAGAATATGCTAATTCAATTAAAATCTATATCTCCACAAGTCTTTCTTCAAACACTACCAAACTCGACAGAGTTGTTCTCCAGATGGCTGATATCAAGTGTTTCAAAGGGTTTTCAGATCGGTCAAACAGTGAGTCTGCAGTGATATTCAGTATCTTGCTGTAACATTTTCTTTTTAACTCAGTTTTGGATCAAATGCCACCAAAATAATTAACAACACACCCAAAACCAGCAGAAGAAGTGTGATTTTTTTCAGAATTATTTCACCTACATCTTGAATGTTGTAAGCGTTTTAAGTTTAAATTGACAAAACTATCCGGCTCTGGCACATGTGACATCACCACCTCAACTTGTAAGAAGGTGTGTGAAAACAGCCTTTCACCCGTATCTCAGACAGTATATCACCTGCCCTGGAGATCTGCAGGTCTAGGGTTCAAAGCTCCAGTTGACCGAGTCAGACTTGCTGACAATGGGGGTGTTGCGGTCATAACAGTTGACTATTTTATTTGGATCGCGTGACACTTTCTTCTTATTTTTCTCTGCTTAAAAGTGTTTGTGCAGCTTAAACTTTAAATCTTGGAAACACAAAATGTCGCAGGCGGGTTGAACATTTCACCCAGTAGTCTGAAAACGTCAAATGTTGCGTTTTCGCGACTTGCTTAGATCCCGATCATTGCCGCTTGCAGCTATATTTATTTTTGTAATACTACTGTCATTTGATGTCCGCTCTGTTCTTTGCTTAACCTGATGTCCAGGATGTAGTGATATATAAGACGTGATAAGATGCCTGGTTTCTTTGTATTTTTCGTATCTTTCTGGAATGAAAACCAACTACAAATACGTCATGCATGTCGGACCCCAAACATAGCCGCCTGCTCTAATTGCCAGAAAAAGTCACCTGGAAAAGTAACAAAAGATATGCATTTAGTACGAGTGGCAACAATTTTTGTTTCATTTGTTGAGAACAGTTAAAGCGGAATTACAACACGACCAATTTCGAAACAGGCAGTTTTCAGGACATCAAAAGCGCGGTGGTGTAGTTAAGGACCCGCGTATATAAGCCATGGGCAGACTGCAGTTCAGCCTCTTGTTGGCGGCTTTCTACACAGTTGGGCGTGAATGTGAAGTCCTTAAGTTTAGTCACGCAGTTTAATCCCTTATAGGAAAGGATGGAAGGCAAATTTCTTATTAAGCGTGTCGAGTGTCCCAAGGACGGGTTAGCCACATGTAGTCATTGGACTACATGTGGCTAACAGCAGCAATGGTTGTTCCGTGCTCAGCACGTGGTACCACTGTAATGGAGGAAAAAGAGACTGACTCCAACCTGTGAGCTCTTTGTTCTGTCAGCAGACCTAGAATGAATCGGAGTTCCTGGAGAACCAAGTTTCCAGATGGATGAAGAAGGTGAGTGGTTGTTTTTATTGGACCACGGGGGTTTAGATAAAGTTGAGCTAAGGAATGCAGCCTTTGGCCAAGAACGTTTTTTTTTTATACAGGATGCAGATTTTCATTTAAATTACTTAAAAACTATTGGTTTAGTCTTACTAAACGTTTAAACAGACCATGACAGAACGGGTACCGTAACACTTAAGTAGTTAATATTAAGTAATTTGTCGTGGTCCCAGAAAATGTTATTTGAACTGACAACCTCGATCATGAATTTTTTTTTAAATGTGAAATGCTAATGTTGCTAGTTTAACACTTGTGCAAAGAATTGACTAATGACAGTCACTTTGTCTTTGATACTTAAACAGAACGTTCTAGAATTAATTACCAAAAGTATTTGCAGACTGGTGTAATGAAAATGACCACCTCTGTTTCAGGATCACTCTGACGATGGATGAGCTGCCGCCTCAGAGCACATGCAACAGGAGTACTATTACTACATTGAGACTGCAGCCATGAGCGCATGGTGAGTGTCAGAGTGGGTCAATTTTTGCTGTGAGGATCAATATGCTATGATGATTCACAAGACTAGAGTCTCTGATTATGCCATGAAGCTCTTTCACAGTGCACTGAGCATGCCTACTACTGATTCTCAATACAAACTGCAAAGAACTTGTTCTAATACTGATTTCTCTGTACTCAGCAGGTGTACAAGGCAAGCAGATGACAAGTACACCCCTAGGTAGGTCTGGCATCTGAAAACCTGTTGTGCTTTTATGTGGAATGATGATTTCATAGACTAGAGTCTCTGAGAATTTATGAAGATGTCTTCACAGTGCACTGACCACATAACCACACCAGTGATCACATGTTTTAACCAGTTTACTGCAAGTCATGTTCACCTTATTTACATGTACATCGCGTCAACTGGCTCAAGCGGACACTCCGAATAACGAATGACAATTATCACATCAAAGAATATATTGATAAATAAAAGTGCCCCAGTCAACATTAAATCAAATGCACATTAAAGCCTATGTGTTAATTTACAGTAGGCAAACGGTAAGTTTGAAATTAAACCTTACATCAGCTGTTTTCATTTCTAGTTCAGGGTCCCCTTGTTGTGTAGCTGAGAGAAATTCCTGGATATTAAATGTTAATCTGCATTTATGAAATTATTGCTGAAGCATGCATGTCACATGACCTGGTTACCTCCTGAGACTGAGAACATCAAATGCAGATACTAAATTTTATTTCCTGATTAAAATGATTTGCTTGTGTTGGTGTATGCTGCAGTCATGTTCCTTATATGTAGGGGTGGTGATGGCGCAATGGATTAGCCACATGCCTTTGGTGTGAGACCTGGGTTCAGTTCCCGCTGTGACATCCACCATTGTGTCCCTGAGCAAGACACTTAACCCCTAGTTGCTCCAGAGGCGTGTGACCTGACATGTATAGCAATTGTAAGTTGCTTTGGATAAAAGCATCAGCTAAATGTAATGAAGATGTTACCAGGGAAACGCCACTGTGCCCCTCCAGACCTAAAGTTTGTGCTAATCACTTCATTGTAATTCCACGGTTTTGGTAAACATAAAACTTGACTATGTAACTCAAAAGTGTTCCACCCAAATTACAAAAGCAAATTTTTCGTGCCGGTCATAATTTAGACAAGTTACAGATCTCTGGTAAGCAGATGATTTCTGTTTAGTACAGCGGAGGGCAATAAGGTTTATAACTTTAGGCATTGAAAACTAATTTGTGTTAATGTTTTAATTGAAAGCATGACTGCAGTAAATGGACTAAAACATCCAAACACACTGGTGTGGTATCAACCATCATAATTTTGGCATGCTGAGGTACTGATTGTGGGTTTTTTCCCTCCCCACTGTAGCTCATGCTTTTCCTCACATTGATGGAAAGGAGATGGAGTAACTGTCTGATAGCTGTAAGTACCAACTTCTCTAGAAATAAAGCCTCATTAGGATGTGCAACATGTGAGGGTCTGGGCTTTTGATCATGTTATCAAGAGTCTTATTTCAAAAGTGCACCTGTCTTCATTATGAGGTGAACTAGTAATGATCCAACCTTGATTATTCAAAGTCATCCAAATGAGGCTTGAAGGGATTTGTGTATTTGTCTGAGTTTGGTCAATGATGATGCAGTTATTTGGTTCAACTGATGATAAATGAAGTCTACTCGCAGCGCACTGAGACACTCAGACTGTTGCCCTTCTGTTGAGGGTGTGGAAGCCGAACTGGTGAATCAATTTGTATCTCCACAGGTCAGACTGTGGCAGCCAAAGCTGGATGACATTTGAAATGATCAATGAACCAGGTTGGTATTGATTGGGACCTTGAATTTTCTTACATGCTATAAGTGTTTGGATGAGTGACACTGAAGTCTAAATTATAAACAATTTATAAAATTTGTTGTCCCTTCACAGGTTCTCCAACTCAAAGATGATCAAATATCAAGTCATCCAGGAAATGGAAGCGGTCACATCTGATTTACAATCTTGCTGTGAAAACAGGCTGCCTTGTCTCTGTGCAACTCAACTGACATGGCTTTAAGGCTTGAAATGTAGAAGTGTCCATGTTTAAAGGAATGTATGTTTCACAACAAAAGGAGGCGGTTTTTTTTTTCTTGATGGCATGTTTGCATGAAATGACTCATGACAGCTGAAATTCTGCTTTGGGATATTGATTGTGCTATGCTTTGAGGTGAGAAGTAATTGCATACATTGACTTAACTATAAAACTTTGGGGTAGTTGGGTATTTACATTGGTTATTATGGACTTGACTGAACTTATCTGACATCCTAGTTACAGTGTAAACTTGAAATGCACTTTGTATTTCCCTTTATGCCTCATAAAGCAGATGTTAAATTATAAACTGAAATAAAACTACTTTACATGGTGTGGTGCAGAAGATGAATTTAAGTCTGACTGCCTGAAGGATGAACCTGCTCTGCAGTCTGACAGCAGATACTTGTGTATCTTTCCACATGGCAGCAGGGTGAACAGGCTGTGAATTAAAATCCTGCTTTACCAGATTATAATTTGTTGCTTAATGTTACTTAGACGATCATCTAATGTATGTAAAATAAACTTGAAGGGGGTATTCTTTGTAAAGAGATCTTTGCTTAATGCTGAGTACATCTTACTGAGGAAAACGTCTTCATAAAATGAACCCAAGAATGCATGCTTTTGATCAGGGGAGAAACGGGCATAATTGTAATTAAAGCCTTGAGACGTGTCCGGTGTAGTAGGACTCAATTGTAACGTTAGTGCTCACTGGGTCACAATAGAGGCTATTAAAACGCATTAGCAATCACTACCCGTGCTACATGAGACCAATTAAGCATACGTCCAATTTTCAGTGATTATGGCAGTACAAAGATGGCTTAAAATAAGTTTGTCGTCCAAACTCAGTGATGGTCACACCCCAGAGCTCGGAGACAGCGCTAACCATCGGCCTACTGCCAACACTGCGTGAAACGGATCCGCTGGGCCCGGAGCGAGCTGCACCATATCAGAAATAACGTTAGTGTGTGTGTGGTGATGCTATGCGGAGGTTTGTACGGCCGAAATACTGTTTGTGTGTAACAAGTTCTGAAAAGGACAAGCACAAGAGGCTTAGCAGAAACCATAGACTGTATATAAAAAAGAACACCACAGATGGTTTTATTTTGAAGGTTGAAACAAGCGGTAGTCCGTTGTCTTTGTCTCGTGAGTTGGTGACGTGAACCGTCTCGGTGTACCTGGCAGGAGGAGCGTCCGCTTGTGTTTTTGCTGGATAACAATAACATTACCTTCAGTGGTAGCTGTCGCGAGTAAGCTTTGGATGGAACTGATTTTATACTCACATAAACACGTTGGTGTGAGACAGTTCTCTATCCAGAGATTTAGGAACTCGGTCTGTCGAATTATTTGATGCTAACACGGAGAGCTAGCTGTGTCTGACAGGCACACTCAAGCTAATGTCGATGAAGGTGGGCATTTATCCATGATCAGATTAGCTACTTTAGAAACAACGAAAACTGTTTTCTTTCGAGAAAAATGTTTTCACGAAATGTGTTTGCTGTAAATTAAACCAACTGACGTTAGTTGCTAACCAAAACATGCAGGTTAACGTTAGCTAAAACAACAAAGTTAACGTTATCAAGACCTGTGTAACTTCACATTAGCTAACGTTAACTCCCATTGATGAGGAGTGGAATTGGGAGGAATGTTTAATGCAAAACTAACTGTAAATGTCTTTTCCTTTATTTGCAGGCATGAGGAGAGGCGCAGTGTGTTTCTGGAGACGCTGAAAAAAGTTTATTGAGCAGTAACTTTAGAGTTAGATGACTGACGTCACAAGTCTTGGCCAACTCAACTTATTCACATAGTAGCTAGCCGGTGCTAACTTTCTTATTAAGCATATTTGATGGTAATGCTGAGTTAAGACATAGAAGAGAAGCTTATAAATGCCAATAAGGGCACTGTAAGTCATTGAAGGAGGGGGGGTCACCCCTTGTTTCTGTTTACTGCTCAAACACACCCACAGGTGTGTCTATGGTTTGAGGACGTCATTTTGCCCAGACCCGAGTCCTTGCGAACAAGTATTACAACTTCCCAACTAAACTGGCAGCACATGCCTGCTTTTCCAGTTAGCTCTCAGGGCTGCCTGGCCAACTGAAGCAAGAGGAACTGAGAACTGAATGTCTGCTGGTTTTAATTCAATTCCAACAAGCTCGGTGAGGAAGCATGACAGCTGTCGTAGGCAGAGCATGGGGGTGGGTGCGCTCATGGGCCAGCAGTGCCGTCTCAGAAAATACCACAACAGTGATAGCTGAGGGCCAGAAACATGGCTGTGGCAGCCAGGGCCTCAGGGGCTGGACCTCCTGGATCTGGGGCGGGCGGAAATGTCAAAGTGACCAAAGTAGTTCAGTAGAGGAGTACTGGGAGGCACAGGAGAAGCTTCAGCCCATGGAAATCGAAGATCTCAGCGCAGTGAAACCAGAGACGATGACAAAATCAGAGCATGTTTATAGATGGTGGAATAAATATCTCCCAACCTCTTACCTTTTGTGGCCGAGGAAAACGGAGCCAAGCAGACAAAGGGGAAGGCGGCGTTACGGTCAGAGTGCAGATGTGTGGGACCGTGATATTGATGAAGACTTTTCTGACTACGGAACGCCTCCTCCATCTCCTACACCTCCTTCCTCTCAGCTGACATCTCCTTTCCGACTGTTTGTAAACAGCTGGAAGGTTGAAATCCTACCAGAACACCACGAGATCTGTTTCAACTTCCTCCGCCACTTGTTCGACCTGTTTGTCATTGGCTTCCTGTGGACTGTGTCCCCCCCTGCCAAACTGATCCTGGAGGTGTTGGGGGTCCAGGGAGCTCTAAGGCTGTGGTTTCATGGTATGGCCATGTTTTTTGTCTCCACAGTTGGAATGGCAGGATTACTTTGGTTAATCCAGGAGTATCTCCCTCAGTTTGCGCTCATCTATGGCATCATACAGGCAGTGGTGATCTCTGTCAGTGTTCGGCAGAGTGTGATCCTCGGCGTAGAGGAAGAAAAAGCAGAAAAGGATGCGGAGGGCAAGGAGACTGATGAAATGAAAGACAGTAGGGAACATAAAGAAGCTTGTGTCCGTAAAAGACAAGCTGAAGACAAGTTAAACTTAAGGTAAGCACCTTCATTCCTCTGATGTGGTTTAGGTTGGGATGTAAAACTGAATTAATTTTCCATTCCACCTGCAGTGTCCGCTGTTGTTGTTTTAACAAGCACAGCTTATAATGTTTATCTTATTTTGCCACAAATGTCTTCAGAGAGACACCACATTCATTCAGAGCTAGATAAGTCCTCTGCTGATTCCTTACTCTAGAAATGTGCTAGTACTTAGTAAAGTACTGTAAATGTCTGCTGATCAGTAACACATGTTATGTAATGTAGAAATCACATCTCCATTCCATAGTTAGTCCACTAGAGACTACTGACATGTTGATCGTTCAGCTTTATAATGTCCCAGTCAGCATGTATCTTGGTCATGATGCATCTGAGGTATCCCTATCTGGATTGTTTGTTTACGCTTGGATCTGAATTGGATCTGTGGTTTTATTGTTGTTGTATATTTTTTAACTTCCAAATATCAGTATCAATATCTCCCTCACTTGTTAGTTTGCAGACTCAGATTTCAAGTTCAAAATATATTATAGTTTGATATAATAAAGATTAAACTATGCAACTTTATATAAATTAGTTTAATGTGCACGTCATTACTACCTACTAGGATGGATCATTACAAATGCTTTGCTGCTGTAGTTACACAGTGAGGAAAAAGTCCTCCCGGATCTGCATCAATTTCTGTATAGAAAATAAAGAAGCATCAAGATGCATCTAATTGTTTTATAATGGCATCGTAGCCCTCTGAATTGAATCATGAGGTGTCTAGAGATTCTCACCCCTATTGTCTTCATGCTGTCATGGATTTGATATTACAGTTCTTGTTAGTTGGCATTAAAGCCTCTGCTTGGCATATATACAGTACACGCTGGCTGTTTTTTCTAGTCAGATGATACCATGCTCTTTTAATGATGCCTTTCCCTGTGGGATGTGTGTGTTGTATTAACTTTGGTCTAAAGAGAGAGTGGTCCTTTTGGTAAGATCAGAGTATGTAGGTGAGTGAGTCAAATATGAACTGCTCTCTCAGCTAGCATACAATAGACTCACTCTCTCACACACACACACACACACACACACACACACACACACACACACACACACACACACACACACACACACACACACACACACACAGTAAGGCCATCTTGAATCTATTTTGGTCCTGTTACCATAGAAAAAGCAGTGTGACATTCTCTGAGTGGTGTGGAAGCAGCTGGAACGCCTGACAGAATGGAAGCATGGAAGCTGATTTAGTTTATTTGCCAGAGGCCTGCTTCAGTTTTCAGCATCATCTGTTCCCAGGGAAATATACCGTCAGGGCTGTGGTAGTTCATCTCTTCCACGTGTCACCACATTGACCTAATGCGAGCCAACTCACACTTTTTTTTATTAAGTAGAGTTGTGGTTTATTAAAATTATTGGGACTTGTTTTTGTAGTAACACAGTGAACTGCTCCAACCAGGCCTGACAGGCCAAGAAACACAAGCAGTGAGATGATCAGACAGGTTGGAAACCAACCGAGGTTTGGTGAGTCCAAAACAACGTGGAGAAAGACATCAACTGCCCTGATACACTCTCCTGTAGTTTAGTTGAGTATTGATGGGTACATATTTGACCTATTTTGAGTATAGTACACGGTGTGCCGTTTTCAGTAATTCCGCTCCAGCGTCTGTACACACCCGCCACTGCTCAGAGTACTGTGTTTTCCAGATGAGCTGTTTTTTAAGAGTTGTCTTTTCCACAGATGGTGAGAAGCAGCTGTCTGTTCAGGAGTCCACCATCATCATCAGTCCACCTGTATCCTCGAGTGTTTGACATCACAGCAGTGGGACTACACAGAGACTGTTGCCTGCACCACTGTGTTCTGCCGTGTAACTTAAGAATTGTGTTGCACCCTCATTACAGACTCATAGAAGTTGTACTTGTGTCACTTTATGTTCAACACTAATGATCTGCATTTTAAAGATGTCTGTCCTCACTTAATCTGAATGTCGTCAGCAGAATGTTGACATCGATAGCCGTGCAAAGTTTAGTATCACAAAGTCTCCCGCTCTAATTGAGGTCAGGAAAGAAAGGGACCAAGAATGTTCAAGAAATGCCTTTAACTCAAGGAAGAGTTTTACTGTGTTTAAACTTGTTTTCCACAGAGCCCCTGAAGTCCCATAAGATTATATTTTTTATCTTGTGGGAACAAGATAATAACTTGGGTGCACATGATAAAAAAAAAATTAATCATCTTATGGGTCTTCTGGGGATCTGTAGATTTCTTATGATTCACCATGAGATATTCACCAGGGGACCAGGTGATTGCCTTTGGTGCATTCCAAAAATACACAGCTTGAATTAGTAGAAATGTTAGGCATCACCACCAGGAGGACAGAAAAGGCAACCCGATACAAACCATGGCATTAAATTGTATGGTTAAACAGGTAAAAAGTTTTATTTGATTGAAAGAAGCAGGGTTTGAGGACAGGAGCCTTCAGAGCCTCACACGTTCACAGACAAATCTGAGTACTACAAAAATATCAGTTCCCCTGACAGGCAGGCCAGAAGGGAGGAAGGAATTACCTGTTCTGAAGCTGGAATTTGAGTTTTGAGTTTTTACCTAAGGTACATGTTTCTCATTACATGTCTCCCCTGCAAATATGAACCCATCTTTAAGTGAAGCTCATATGACAAATTCAAGCATGCATTTCCTGTTCTGGTGCAAACTCTAGCTGACTCCGGTAGACTGCTTGAATTTGTTCATTGTTCAGCTTTGACCACTAGAATCTGTCCCACTGTTTGGAAAAGGACAAGCAGTTATTCTGTGTCCTTACCTAGTTTTGTTGAATAGTACACTCCTGGACTACAGACTGCAACATCGTGTTTAACAGCCTGTGGTCACGCTGCTTAATATTTATTTACTTCTCACATCAGACCTGTGACCTCACATTCCTGTGCACGGTCATTTTGTTGAACAGAAGGCTAATGTGAATGTGCCTTTGCTGGAGTGAAAAACCAAATTTGGTCAACAGAGAGGAAGTAGCAACCACCAATGCTCTCTCATAGGTTTAGACGCCTGTCAATCAAGCACACACGGACATTACTAAATATACTGTATGAAAGCCATAAGCTCTCCTTTACTCTTTAACCTCAAATTGTGATTCTTCAAAATAAAATGTGTGTTTTCAGACACAAAACTAATTGAATGGATTTCAATGGGGATTTTTTTGTTGTCTCGGAACAAGCACTTAATAGCCACAGAGGAAGTAGCTTCAGTACTCGGCTGTGATGGATACTATAAATCATCTGTTTTGTACTTTATATATTTTCACACATTGAACTGAAAAAGGAGTGTGCCTGGAATGACCTGTGGAAGAGGCATTTCCTGAAGACCTTAACACATGCTGTACATGGATTACGTTACATTGAGATTTCTCAAATATGAACTGAAGAACATGGCAACAAGATGTATCTGTTTAGAGAAGTGTTGACACTACCAGCAGCACGTTTTAGTGTGTTCACTGTACACACTTGTTATTTTTGCCTGATGTCATTTTCAGTGCCATGATGTTGCTTGTTTAAAACTTTACTGGATGTAGGCCTCACGTATTTTCCATTATGTATTTTAATGGATTTTTACTTGTCTTGCTTTAGATGAAATACCAACATCTAATTTGGTTTTAGTGCACAATAGCATGTTTTGCACTCAACACTCCTTACTTGTATTACAGTCCGTACGATGTGGAAGACTGTGGCTGATCATAGAAATGGAAGTCATTTTATTTAACAAAAATTTTAGAATACAAACATTCAAATCTAGTGTTCATAAATATGTGTAACTACTGCAAAATTAGAATACAAACTTGAGTGACAAGCCATTTGTGTAACACTGCCACAGCGACCTGAAATTGAATGTGAAATCTCAGTGTCATTTTCAAATTGCCACACGGCAACCTAAACGTGATAGATTTTTAAACTGTTGATTGCAGAAAATGAATCGATTATTTTATGTTTGATTGTTGAGCCAAACATTGCCTATTTCCAGCTTTTCAGTTGTGAGTTTGCTGCATTTCTTTGTTTTATGTGATAGTAAGTTAACTATCTTTGGGTTTTGAATCGTGTGGCAAAGCAAGCCATTGTGAAAATGACACCTTGGGGTTTAGGAAATTGTGATGGGCATATTTCTGCATTTTTTGACATCTTATAGATAATAAGAAAATAATTGGCAGATAAATCCATAATCAAAAATGTTATTTGCAACCCTATATCAATTGAAATATTCTTTTGATATATATTGTGACTAATTAAATGAAATGTAATAGTGTTTTTTATGGCCAATTTATAATAGTTGAGTCTAACAGATTTCATAGAAGAGGCCTGTAAGCTTCCATCTTTTAATTTCATTAGTAACAAGCTGAAAGTCCAGAGTGCACTTTGATTTTCAAGTTTAGGTTTCACATTATCTGTCAATTTTATTTTCAATTTCGTTTTTATTGTGATGTTATGCTAAGGAGTAAACTGAACATTTTGTCATTTGTTCTTCCTAATTTTGTAAGAATTTGTGAATTTCCAAACATTAAAATTAGATTTTGAAATTGTAATTTCAAGATTTTATGGAAAACTACATTTTGATTGGAAGGATTTGATTAGGTGGTTTCATTTTAATATGAGCAGCTAGAGACTTCCATTGTGAGAATGCTCAACTTGGGCTTTTTTATATTGCACCAAATTTCTATTAACAATCATTCCCAAGGAGGTGATACAATGTATACAACTCTCTGTCGCCTTTATTCATTTGCTTATGTGGAGCTTTTATCGCAGTATATTAATGCGGTAATCCCTTGTAAATAAAGCTATTTTTATATGAGCAGTAAACACACCTAACAAGTGCAGGATCACTGGAGCTGAAGAAACTGGCTTGTTTCCTTTAATACCCCTGGTGTCATTTTAAATAAAGGAAGGCAGTATCTGCTGTGACCCATTACTGTACATCTAATTTATAGCCACTTTGAACCCAACAACTACTAGGTTAACGGATTCTACTGGCATAAATAAAACTGATGGTCTTTTATTAAAATTGTCTTGGTTTTGATTTCCTACGCGTTGTTTTTAAAATCCAACATAAAATGAAACAAATGCAGTTATGGTATGTTGATTATGCTGGACTGAATTTTTCAGCAGAGAGTATAAAATGATCCAGCTGAAGAGTCCTGGTTTTGCATGTTGTAAATTTCAGAGATTACATAAAATCATTTTTGAACGTGTTTTTTTTCCTTCCTTCCTAGCATCTTATTTATTTCAGTATGCTTTGAAAATAACCTTGCAGACACTAGAAATTAATTTCCAAGTAGTAGCTTTAGCAGGTCAATACAGTGTGCAGTATTAACCTATTAAACATCAACATCCGGACTACGTTATTATTAAATGTCTTCCAGAGTCACTGCAGGAAACATTTGGTCTTTGTACATTTTGCATGAAAGTGACCTTCAGAAATTAATCTAGCAGTTTATAATGATTGTATGACAAAACTTCCATGAAATGTAGTTACACACATTCAATTATCAAAATGAGTTTTAGGCCAACTTAAAAATCAATCCATGGTCACCTTCTGGGGGCCTCAGGACAACTTTAACCCTGTTTCTACATTGTGTACAGTATTTACATGCTGTACACCTGGCCCCAGGTTTGCTGGTGCCAATTTAACTTAACACAAGTTTATATAAGATTATGCACCATGTAAGCACAGTATCAGTAGTACTCATGACTTTAAAGACTCAAAAGGTGAAACTAATATATAGACTCATTACATGCAAAGTGAGATATTTCAAGCCATAGATAGATAGATAGATAGATAGATAGAGCTTGCTGGCCAATCAAGCACAGTAATCCCATGGTCATTGAACCAGGTTTTGGTACTTTTGGCAGTGTGGGCAGGTGCCAAGTCCTGCTGGAAAATTAAGTCAGCATCTCCATAAAGCTCGTCTGCTGAAGGAAGCATAAAGTGCTCTAAAATGTCCTGGTAGGCGGCTGCGCTGACGCTGGACTTAATAAAGCACAGTGGACCAACACCAGCAGAGGACATGGCTCCCCAAACCATCACTGACTGGGAAAACTTCACACTGGACTTCAAGCATCTTGGATTGTGTGCCTCTCAATTCTTCCTCCAGACTCTGGGACCTTGGTTTCCAATTGAGATGCAAAATTTGCTCTCATCAGAAAAGAGAAACAGACAAGTTATTTTTTTTCTCCTGACGTTGTTTGTTGTTCAGGAGCAGCTTGACAAGAGGAATACGACATTTGAATGTCCAGGACCCGTCTGCGTGTGGTGGCTCTTGATGCAGTAACTCCAGCCTCAGTCCACTCCTTGTGAAGCTCCCCCACACATTTGAATGGCCTTTTCCTGACAATCCTCTCCAGGCTACGGTCATCCCTGCTGCTTGTGCACCTTTTTCTTCCACACTTTTCCCTTCCACTTAACTTTCTATTAATGTGCTTTGATACAGCACTTTGAGAACATCCAACTTCTTTTGCAATTACCTTTTGAGGCTTTCCCTCCTTGTGGAGGGTGTCAGTGATGGTTTTCTGCACAACTGTCAGCTCAGCAGTCTTCCCCATGATTGTGAATTCCACTGAACCAGACTGAGAGACCAATTAAAGGCTCAGGAACCCTTTGCAGGTGTTTTGGATTAATTTGCTGATTAGAGTGTGACACTTTGAGCCTACAATACTGAACCTTTTCACAATATTCTAATTTTCTGAGATTTTGAATTTGGGGTTTTCATAAGCTGTACGCAATAATCATTGAAATTATATCAAATAAAGGCTTGAAATTTCTCACTTTGCATGTAATGAGTCTATATATTAGTTTTACCTTTTAAGTTGAATTACTGAAATAAATGAACTTTTTCACGATATTTAAATTTTGTGAGATGCAACTGTATAACACACATTCGTCAACCAGTTTAATCACAGTTCAAAACTTTAATTCAGATTATATCTGCTTTCATTATGTTTAATAGTATATACAGAAAGGTGCATTACCAGTACAAGAACAATGTACATATGTAACAATATCAGTGTGTGAAGAGGTGTGTACAGAAAGTGGTGGCATAAATGAACTGAGTGTAATCCACACAACTGTTGCATAACAAACATGGTGTGAAACTGTAGAAGAGAAGGACGATGGAGCCTGTACCAGGTGGGTTTCGGTCATAGCTGAGACATGAGAACAAAGCCCAGGCCAGCAGTCATGCACGTCTCTTCTCCTGTACAGCACATTAGCTGTGATCCAGTTCCATATTTACAGCCTGTCAGGAATGGCCCTCCAATCAGAATGCTCACAGAAATGACATGTCAGTCACTCAGCAGAGCACAGCAGGAAAAGCAAAAATAGCCATTGTCTTTAAACAGAGTTGAAATAATCAAACTGCAGAATTGTTACGACCGGCGTGCAGCTCAATTCAAAGAGAACCTATGGGTGCTTTGTCCAAAGAGTTAAGCGAATTAGTATATTAACAGAAATTAAATTCTCTTTTTCGTTCACACTGGTGTTGTCAACTCTGCTATCCACCAGTTTGACTTCGCTCATTACCATCCTATGCAAAGAAACAAATCTAAAAACCAGTGGACACACTGGAATTAACTAAAAAACAATCAAGCAAATGAAAACCAGCAGAGGATTTACAAGTTAAAAATATGCTTCTCTTTATGAGATTTCATCCAATCCAATACTATTCCAAAATTAAATACAAAGTGATCAATAAGGTGAGAGCTAACTGCAGCCTAAACGGAGGGGAATGATTCTGTCTGTTTAGTTTGAGGCCACAGACATGGCTCACTACCCAGGCCCCCATCCTTCATACGTAGGTTAACTAATCCAGGTTTACATGGTGTTAGCCAGATAAAGAAATCCAACCACTCGTTACAGCAAACTATTATTTTGACATAACAGCAACATGAGTAAAAAGTAGAATCAGCACAAGTATTACTTATTAAATTACACTTAGACCTTAGACTGCCTATACCTCTACTGAACAGCTGGTAGTGAAGACAGTGTAAAACAAGTCATGGATTTGTATGATCAATCTGTGAACTGTGTTCAGTAATCTGACTGATCATTTTTGAGACTGGTTCTAGTTTAATATAAACTGACCTCTTACATCCAGCGTTTGCTTATTTCGTGATTGTACAGTTTGAAGAAGAATTTATTCCTTTTGCTTATAGTACTTACAACCAAAGTTATTTTTAACGTAATGATTTCATCTTATAGTACTTTTAGCATGCATATGTGTTTATTGAGATGAACACAGATCTTGATATTTCAATAATGTTTGTTTCAGAGACGTCTCCATTTATCACTGAATGTGTTTAAACCTTATTTACTGAAGGGTTTGTTGATCTGACATCACCTCCACAAAGATCTGTCTCAGAAGAACTGAAAATCCTGGATGATGTTAAATCTTCAACATTTAGATCATCATCCATCTGGTTAAACACCTCAGATGATCAGGTAACCCAGCAACAACGATCTGTTCATTCTCATCCGGCTGCCTTGGTCCTTTTGATTTGTTTGTATAAACTGATCACCTATATTGGTCTTTGTTGATAAAGTTTTGAATTAAAAAATGTGATGTGTTTTCTTATCTTTTACATGTTGTCATCTAAAAGGATAAATAGATCAGCATTTCTCTGAGGAAATGAGTTATCTGTATCGGAGAATGACTTCCCTCTAAAGCTTTCAGTCACGATACAGCAAACCGTGAGTAAGCCGCCTTTTGCAGGCTTGGGCTGATGGTCTTGCTGGTACGCTAACAGCTCCAGATGAAGTTTAAAACAAGGCTTGTGTTATCCACATATGAAGAACAGGGCCAGGGCAGGGTTCTATAATATTGATTACTTCTAACAGATGATACTGATGGTGCTAAAGCATGTGGAGTCCTGTGTAATATGTTCTGTCAGCAATTGTCACAACAGTTGGCATAAACTTTAAAACTGCTCTACAAATCAGTAACAGCAAATACTCACTCAACTAAATATAAAGGGGAGAGCTTTGTTGGTGTCCAGTTTTCCATCCTCTCTATTCTGTTGCTCACACATGCTTTGTCATCAGAATGCTACTGCACAGACTGCGGTCCACTATATGGCAATTATTATTTAGAGTAAAGACCAGCAAATAAATAAAAAACAATGTGCTGTATTATATACAAATAACTCCAGCCAGTTTGTCAAAAGGAAAAACACACCGCCAGACAACATAGGATGACCTCTCTATGACCATCTCCTCAAAGCTTCTAACATGTATGCTGCATTCCAGTCAGAAAGTCCAGTATGATGATGGGGACATTGCCATGTTGGAATCACAAGCACGGAGTCTGGGCAAATGTTTGTCAACTCTGCTTTCATGTGTTTTAGCTACAGACAGATCACATTCCTGCTGCTGATGACCATTTTCCAAAGCACTGACCGGTTTTAGTTTTTTTAATAGGCAGCCATTGGTTTTTGTTCATTTTACTATAGTTTAAAATACATACGTTTAAGAGACATGGAGCTCTTCAACACCATCACTGCCTGAAAACAGTCAGCAGTAATGTAATGTACATAAATGTGATTTGAAGTAAAAGGGTGAACACAGGCATAAACATGCAAAAACTCTGGCCCATTAGTCCAGTTATCTTATCAGCTGCATGGCCTTCGATCTGTACGTCAAAGGGTTAAACACCTACCGTTATCATTCCATGGTAATTATGTCAGTTGGCACAATATCAAATGTGTTTTAGCTGTTGAATGCAGTGCAGCCCTGACATGGTTGACAATAGTTTGAATTGTTTAATCAGAAAAATGTGCCAATATGTGAATACACTGGCATTTATTTGTAAAGTGAATACCTTTGGGCTTTAACCTGCAAAAATAAAAGCAAACAGGATATTCACTGTGATGGATTACAAACGTTAAGTTTATTTTCATAGCACAGTGAAATGAACGGAAACCAATAGATGCCTGGAAAAAAGGAAAGGATTTCAAATTGTACCATTCTACGAAATGCTTTGGAAAATGCTTAGCAGTGATGCATACTGTGTGGGATTTAAAACATGC